CTCCACTATTGAGTTACCAGTCTGGCATAGGTTATGCGTGTGCCTTTTGAGTCAACTTGTGCACCATTAGTTTTCCTTTGTGTAATTACCAGATTTATCTATCTTTCTTTCTTGCGCTGCACTAGTATCGCAGAGGTCAGTGGTTCGAGTCCCGTACAGGCCTGAATTTTTTTGAGGTCTGATTTTCACTATTGCTTAAATAGTGCTTTACTGCGAAGGATCGTGCACATATACATATCTTTCTTTTGTCATTGATATTATCAGACGAGCTCGAGTTCACAGAATTTCCGTTCCTCGGCCCTTGACTTAAGGCGCAAATATAGAATTCACAAGCGCTATCGCAATTTTAACGTTTGTACGTTTACTATATGAAATCATTTTTGGTACAATCGTGCAAAGCAATATTCTCTCAGGTGTCTCGTTAACACAGACCTCGAAAACGCAGACCGCAGACCGCATACCGCACACCTGGAAAACGCACACCTCGAAAAACGTGTATACAGTGTGTAATTACCAGACTTATCTCTCTTCTTTTTGTCATTGATGTTATCAGACGAGATCTCGGAATTTCCGTTATGCGAAAGCGAACCTGCCAAGTAAACACTGGACTTTAATTTATATTTAAAACGCTGCGTTTACGATCCTCCACTGCTGAGTTATCCGTGTGCCTTTTGAGTCGACTTGTGTGTGCACTATCACTTGCTTCACGTTTTCCTTTGTGTATACAGTATGTAATTACTGAATTTATCTATCTTCCTTTTGTCAGTGTTCTTATCATGAGACGAGATCACAGAATTTCGCACTACACCGAAAGACCTAGTTAAACAATAGAGTGTTTCTGCCCAGGAACTATCGGCTGATAGTTGCCCCGCGGAAATTTGATGTTCTTAAAACGAATATTTGCCCGAGAAGCAAAGCTCCGAGGGCAAATATGCTATATTTCCGAGACATAAGTATTGTCTTTATTGTTCACCACTAAATTTTCTTCCGCTCGCCGGTTTAAAAACAATCAATAATTATTACGATCGAGTAAAAGCTTCATGAACCAGTAGTGTTTACAATTACAGCCACCTACCACCCCTCCCTGAGTACTAACATTCTTCCCCTACCCCTCCCTCAGTACTTTTAGACTGTACCCACCCCTCCCTGAGTACTAAAGGTGTGCCTCCCCCCTTATAAAATCGTCCAAAAAAATAGTCCAAAAAAAATCGTCCAAAAAAATAGTCTAGTCCAATCCATATTTTACCCTATGCCGAAAAATAAACACTCGTGAAACCGCACACAGACTCATTTAATTTGACTATCTGATTTTACCACACCGGGTGTGGGTTTGTACGGTGGCCCAGAAGGCTCAACGCAAACAAAAAATATACTGCAGCAAATAAAAAATATACTGCAGCAAAAAATATACTGCAGAAAATAAAAAAAATCAAAACGCAAAGAAAAAAAGTACTGCACCAAATAAAAAAATGCCACGCAAACAAAAAATGCCACGCAAACAAAAAAATACTGCAGCAAATAAAATATGTAACGCAAACAAAGAAAAGAAAACGCAAACAAAAAAAGAAAACGCAAACAAAAAAAATTGGAACGCAACGCCAAGGAAGACTGGGTAATAGTTCTTAGTTTCCCGCCAAAACAGCATGAACTGGAACTCGTTTTTGGTTATGGACGAAAGCGATCTGCGTAGGATTATAGAAGATTACTTTCATCAAGGGTATGAAAATAAAGTTATTATCGAATTTTTAAAGGAGCAGCATGGTACTGTCATAAGTTCGCTGCAAAACATGGTTTCGGAAAGGCGAACAAGCAAAGGATGGAACGAGTGTTGGCGGGAAACTAAGAACTATTACCCAGTCTTCCTTGGCGTTGCGTTCCAATTTTTTTTGTTTGCGTTTTCTTTTTTTANAGCGCAAAATGTTGATGTAGGAGAAGTCAGTCGAAAAACCGATTAAAATAATTATTACGATCGAGTAAAAGCTCCATTAACCAGTAGTGTTTACAATTACAACCACCTACCACCCTTCCCTGAGTAATAACACTCTTCCCCCACCCCTCCCTCAATACTTGTCGACTGCACCCACCCCTCCCTGAGTACTAAGGGTGTGCCTCCCCCCTTATAAAATCGTCCAGAAAATCGTCCAAAAAATCGTCCACAAAATAGTCCAGTCCAGTCAATATTTTACCCTATGCCTAATTACACACTGTATACACGTTTTTCGAGATGTGCGTTTTCGAGGTCTGCGGTCTGCGGTCTGCGGTCTGTGTTAACGAGACACCTGAAGGAATATTGCTTTGCACGATTGTACCAAAAATGATTTCATATAGTGAACGCACAAACGTTAAATTTGCGATAGCGCTTGTGAATTCTGTATTTGCGGCTTATGTCAAGGGCCAAGGAACGGAAATTCTGTGATCTCGTCTGATAACGTCAATGACAAAAGAAAGATAGATAAATCTGGTAATTACACAAAGGAAAACTGATGACGCACAAGTCGACTCAAAAGGTACACGCATAACCTATGCCAGACTGGTAACTCAACAGTGGAGGATCGTAAACGCGATATTTTCACTAATAATTAAAGTCCAGTGTTTACGTGGCAGTTTCGCTTTCGCATGGCTAAAAAATTAAAGGAACGCCGCGGCCCGGCGCAAAATGTTGATGTAGGAGAAGTCAGTCGAAAAACCGATTAAAATAATTATTACAATCGAGTAAAAGCTCCATTAACCACCTACCACCTCTCCCTGAGTAATAACACTCTTCCCCCACCCCTCCCTTAGTACTTGGCGACTGCACCCACCCTCCCAGAGTATTAAAGGTGTGCCTCCCTCCTTATAAAATCGTCCAAAAAATCGTCTAAAAATCGTCCAAAAAATAGTCCAAAAAAATCGTCCAAAAAATCGTCCAAAAAGTCGTCCAAAAAATAGTCTAGTCCAGTCCAGTCCCCTTTTACCCTATGCCCTGCATAGCCGTATATAGCCCTGTATAGCCTTTCCAGTTTCCCTGCTATAGGTCCTTTGAAAAACAATTTCATGAAAAGGTAAAACTGTTTAATAATTTCGTTCATTATAAACATGACAACAATGCCACAGAATGTTTCTTTTACAAACGATACTACTTACGATACTACTTACATAGAAACTACCACCACTGAAACTTAGTACCACTTAAATGAACAATTTTAAACTTTGGTTGTAATAGTACAAAAATATAACCATTCATTAAAAAAAATTCTAAAAACACTAAAAGTTTGATGAAAAACTCCATTCTGTTATAAAATTACTTTGATCCTCTAATTTCATAGCGATGTAGTTTTCTAAATATAATTTTTCTCGAGCCAAACGAGTGTAAATTCACCTAACTTGACCTTATTCTTATTCTTGGCGCTGACGAATAAAAAGCCGAGTTTCCCTCTAAGATGGTTTAGTGCCAAACACTTACAAGAAAAGCGAAATGTACCATACAAAACTGCCATACTAGGACTCGATTTGGAAGGTTTATCAAGCACATGAAATTCACCCTACATAAATGATAAAAGCCTAGATTTGCGCCGTTTAGGTGTGCATAGCTGTGTACAGCCCTATGTAGCTGTGTATAGCCCTGTATAGCTGTGTATAGCCCTGTATAGATGAGTAGAGCCGTGTATAGCTGTGTAGAGCAGTGCACAGTTGCGCAGAGCACTGTTTAGCTGTGTTTAGTTGTACATATGAATAAAGGCTGATAGTTTCAAAAGAAAGTGTTTGGGGCTGCGTCGGTGGGAGTAACGAAATAATTTGGATATATCAACAAAGTTGAAATGGTAAATTGGGCACCGTAACGATTACAAAAGCTGACGTTTCGAGCGTTAGCCCTTCGTCGATAGCCCTTGTCCGAGCGTTAGCCCTTCGCTCCGACGAAGGGCTAACGCTCGAAACGTCAGCTTAGTTGTACATAGCTGTGTATAACCCTGTATAGCTGAATGTAGCTGCATCTAGCTGTGTATAGCTGTATGTAGCCCTGTATAGCCGTGCATAGATGTGTATAGCTGTGTAGAGCTGTATATAGCCGTGTAGAGCTGTGTATAGCCCTGTATAGCTGCGTATACTCTGTTTACATGGCTGTGAATAGCTGTGTACAGCTATGAATAGCTCTGTATAGCTGTGTAGAGCCCTGTATAGCTTTGTATAGCCCTGCATAGCTGAATATAGCCCTGCATAGATGTGTCTAGCCCTGGATAGCTGTGTATAGCCTTGTATAGCTGTGTATAGCCCTGTATAGCTGTGCATAGCCCTGTATAGCTGTGAAGAGTTCGGTATAGCTGTGTATGGCCCTGTACAACTGTGTATAGCCTCGTCATGATACCTGTGTATAGCCCTGTATAACTGTGTAGAGTTCGGTATAGCTGTATATAGCCCTGTACAGCTGTGTGTAGCCTTGTATAGCTGTGTATAACCCTTTTCAGCTGTGCATAGCCCTGTATAGCTGTGTAGAGTTTGGTATAGCTGTATATAGCCCTGTACAGCTGTGTATAGCCCGGCATAGCTGTGTATAGCCCTGTATAGCTGTGTAGAGTTCGGTATAGCTGTGGAAAAGCCCTGTACAACTGTGTATAGCTCTGTATAGTTGTGTATAGCGGTGTAAAAGCTGTGGATAGCCCTGTATAGCTTCGCATAGCCATGTACAGCTGTGTGTAGCCGTGTATAGCTGTGTATAGCCGTGTATGGCTGTATATAGCTGTGTATAGCTGTGTATAGCCCAGTATAGCTGTATATCGCTGTGCATAGCTGTGAATAGCTGTGTATAACTATGAATAGCTCTGTATAGCTGTATAGAGCCCTGTATAGCCTCGTATAGCTGTGTATAGCCCTGTATAGCTGTGTAGAGCCGTGTATAGTTGTGTTAGGTTGCATTACACTGGGACGTACATAAAGTATATCCCTGGTGGGATATACAACATATGTGGCTGCCTTCCATGACCCAGACCCTGCATGTGGAATCAGAACGAAGAACGCCTGGAACATTAACCCCAGCAGTGGCTTCAAACAAACGCGTTAGATGTATTATAGTGATTTTGTGTTATCTATATGGTCATTTCTAATATTAAATTGTAGCGAAAAATCATGAGCGGGCGTGGAAGGGGCAGAGGAGCACTTGCAAGATGGGAAGCTGCTCAAACTGCGAAAGAAAGTAGCGCGCGAGTTGGATCTTCGATTTTGTCTCCTTCTCAAGAAAATGAGATCAAACCACAGGTCAAACAGTTTCCAGGCGACTCTGTTAACAATCACACGCTTGCAAGAGTCACTCATATCATCGATGTGGAGCACTTTTGGGCCCAGACAGGTAAGACTGAAACGATAAACAATATATATTGTGGGATGACAATACAATCCCCCTGCCGAAGGCGATCGAAAAACAATGATGAACAACACAGTCGTTCTTTTTGTCGCAATCTAAAATTATTGATTACCATTGCCTGTTTGTTTAAATCTGTGGTTTGTTAAGCTTTGATTTATTTCTCCTTGTAACCGTTGATTCCTTTTTCAAAACTGGATAATTATGATATCTTTACCTGGCATTGACTTATCTTGTAGGCCAGTTATGAGTCGAGGACTGTACCAGAAACTCACGACCCTTAACCAATTCTTGCCAGCGTGTGAAGCTACTTTCGTACAATGAAGTAGCCGCTGGTGGTAGTTTCTTGTATGATAGAACTGTCAATCAACAAGGAAAGTGGGCTTGAAAGAAGTTTTGCTTTCTGTTAAAGCAGGTTAAAGGGAAAGAGAGCAAAGTGCAAATCGAATATTGATTTTTTTTTCACAATGGAAGCCTTTCATCTAGCACCTCTTTATTGTCTGTATGACTGAGTGCTTTTAGTCCCGAACAAACCAGAGTTTATTTTACTAAATCCCTCACCAAAGATATGATAGGTGTTTTATAGATACTCATAAAAAATTTTTAAATTAAATTAAAGAACCCCAACATAACATACTCAAAATTTAGCTTGATAAGCAAATTAAAACTTAGTAATTTCTTGTGTTATAAACATTTACCAACCCGTTTTCTTTACAGGGGTCAAGTTTCATGTTTAACTACTAAGAGAGACTACAAGTTAGTTTCTCCTTACAATATCGTGTCTGAAATAAACATAACTTCAAGAGAATAAAAATAATGATGGTTTCTTAAAGAAGCTCTTGATTGGTGGACAAAATCTCCTTGTTAATAGCACAGGAAATGTATTGAGGAAAGTGTAGAGAATATGTATCTACTGATGTTGGAGCATGAAGAGTTAAGTGGAGGTCCTTGCAAGTAATTTGATAAGTGAGCTAGGATAACTACGTAAAAGTGGATACATTTGGATACACTGGTTATTTGAGTATTATTTTAAGGATTTGTACAAATTACTGGAGCAGAAACAATAGGACATAGGTCCCCTACGAGGTTTAAGCTCCAACAAACCCACCCATCTCACCCCAGAGAAGGTCATCCATCAAACAGTAATCTCATGCGTGGGAAATTAACGTCTCCTACCCCTAACCCTGTAGGAGGCAAGACTTCCATTTATTTGTCCCTATCCAAGAAGACTAGAATATCTAACCATTTCTTGATGTTATAGAAAGGTAGCATATTCTTCTCAATTATTTTAAGACCTTAAGTGTTGGTCTGGCAGTTCCTATGCTTTTGACTTTCCTGAAGCATTTGAGTAAAACTTATGCATTGTAACTAATTTTAATGTCCTTGGGGGGATGCACTCTACATGTATTATTATATGCATTATGGTGTGGTCATTTCATTTTGTAAGTCTTTTATGTTTAAATAAGTGACAATCATTTCATGCTTCACCTTTCAATTATTATGGTATTGTATTGAAGGGAAGTTTGGAGAACATGCTTGTGCAATTGAATCTTATGACACAGATTTACTAGCTAATTTTTATAACATTTTCTTTAACCCAAGTGACTCCCAGAATTAATTAACATGTAACTTCTCGATATATATCCATAATATATCCACCAATTTGATCTAACACAGGGCTTGACACTAACTTTTCAGCTTACTAGCCCAGTGGCTAGTGACATCATAGATTTTATGACAATTTCAGTTTATTTTCTAACCAAACTGGCTAATGGAAATCGAAAACCACAAGCCTAAACTAAATTTCTACTAGTCTGTGGCTATTGGGCTACCTTTAGTGTCGAGCCCTGCTAACACCAAATTCATGTTACTAACTTACAAAAAAATGAGTATCAGCTGGAGGGGAGATTTGATTATCAGATCTTAGGGGTTTAAAGATTAAATATTCCTGGGAATATCTGAGGTGTTTTGTTTTGAGTTTAACATTTTTTAATACCAGGTACTTCTGATGAGCTCAAACAGTTTGACACATACATCATGGCTTTGAATTCATGGTGTAATGAACAACAAAGATCAAGTGTTGAGCAAATACCCACATGTGGTCAGGCAGTGTGTGTATTTCATTCAAGCACTGGCCAGTGGAGAAGAGGCCAGGTTACTAGGCACATTAGCAACAGGTTTGTTGAATAATTCTTGAAATATTAAGAACTTTGGCTTACTGCTTGGTATAATTCATTGTTTAAATTTTATGACAATACTATTGACCGAATCGAAATATGGCGTCCAATTTAAATTACCATTGTTTTGGACTTACTAGCCTCGTCTTGATGTGGAAACAGAAAAGGATTATCACATGTGTGAGAGAGGCTAGTAAGTCCAGAACAATGGCAATTCAAATTGGATGCCATATTTCGATTCGGTCAATAAAATTTGAAAGTTAATTATACCATACAATATTATGTTCATTTGACAATTTAAATTTTTCAGTTACCATTACTGGCAATCCATTCAGGGTAGTAATGTTGGGAGGGGGGTTATCTTTTTACTTCTTGGACCCATAACTACCAGCCTTGATTAAAATGTAACTTCTCCTTATAATATCTGTAACTGCCACGGGTGACTGATTATTTTTATTGGTAAGAAGAAACTCTAACTGCACAATTTTCAACACGAAACGAAACAACACGGTTAAAACTGCAAATGAAACAGCGAACGAAAACCTATTAAAATAGAAACTAAGTTAAATACACAAGGAAAGCTACAACAAAAATAACAATGAAAACTACGTAATACAAAACTTACATTTGTTGCAATGTTGTGGATTTCCTGCCTAGTGGCGAAATAGCTACACAAAGCGAGTGACCAAAAAATCAAACACTGGACAAATACTGAACAAAATACTGGACAAAAACTGAACAAACTGCACAAACTACGATGTACATTATATATATCTTATTAACCAAGCGCAAGGGCCGTACTGGGAGAATATCGGCCTGAGGTCTTGACAGTACGGACCGAGCGCAGCTCGGTCCGTACAATAAAGACCAAGGGTCGATATTCTTCCAGTACAGTCCCGAGCAAGCTTGGTTAATAAGAGATTTATTATACAACTGAAGTTCAAAGGGACACTAGTGTGGTATCATTCGGGACAGTGCCTGGTCCAATACTTAGAGAAAATTGGACCGGCAATAGAGCATTTTGATTGGTTGATTTTAGTTATTGGCCCTCTGACTGCCTGAGTCGTGTGATAAGGTTAAATACATGCTACGTTACATAATGCTACATAATGACACAAAGAAAGCGCACACAAAATTTTACCACAATTGGCACTATTAGAATGAGAACAATAAACAAACGATAACGAATATTGAGGCATTTGCTATCTACAATATCCCTTATACATACATTATCCAGTAAACAGGAGGTAAGAATACTCAAACTAATCAGGTAGAGGTTCTCTTGATGTAACACCAACTTCTCGTCAATAACTAATTTACAAGGGAATGTGTAGCAGCTAGAGGGGAGAATTCACAATCAGATCTTAGGGTTCAGAGGTCACGCAAGGCTTGATATGAAATTTAGGATGAACTCCCAAAAGTCTGTGACTCAGTTCACTTATAGCACAACTGGACATATATTCATCACCACTGTAAGGGAGCAGTCATCATGTTGTTAGAGGTATCTTTGATGTTTTCTATAGGAGTTAGTTGTAAGTGTTAAATCTACTTTAGTACAACTACCCAGGATCTGTTTTGAATTTTTTGACAGCATGTTAGATGTATTTTACTTGGATTATGGACAGTCAGAATGTGTACCACTGGATAGAGTTTGTCATTCCTCTCCAAGTGATATCATGTCTCGCCCAGCACTAGCACGTTATATAACACTGGATGGTGTGAAACCTGTATGTAACCTACACTATCAATCAGGATCATAGTATATCATTTTACATTCAGCTGTATTTTTGGTTTGAGAGATTGCTGCTCTTATGCTTGCATTATTTTATGGTCACAGTGATTAATCTATTTATTACAAGCTTACAATTTTTTTTTGCTGCATTTTCATCTGCTGGTTAAATGAAATTTATTTTGTTACAAGTTTTCATCAAATTCCTCTATGGGAAAGAAGAACCCTCTAAAATTTTCCTGGCTTACAATATATGGCTTCATAGCTCAGTTGGTATGGTAGGACCCAATGAGTGTCTGGAAGGGACAGGTTCGATTGCTGTTTTTCTTCTAGAATTGCTGAAATTGTAGTCCAGCTGCAGTGATCATTTCTTTTCTAGATTTCCAATAGTACACAGTAGTGCACAAAATCCTTCTTTTATTTGAGACTGGTTATCAAACTGGTTTTATATGACTGTATAAGAATTGTAAAATCTAATTTTGTAGAAAAGAAGGAAGATTTTTAAAATGTTTCAGATTAAAAATATATGCTGCAATATGTGGTTTGCAACCAATCTCTAGAGAAACAGTTAACAATAGTGAAAGGAACAAATGCTGGTGGACGAAGAGAAGAAGCTAACGAGTTATCTATTGTTTACGTCCACCAACATGGCGGCAATGACATAACGTACAAACCACCTATATTATTTAGAATTTTGTACCTAATAGTATGTCCTTCAAATTCTGAAAAGTAATTTCTACAGATCAATGCAAGCTGGTCAGAGGAGGAGAATAAAAGATTCAGTGAGCTTGTTTCAAGCAGACTTAAAATCCATTTTATTGACAATTTTAGAGGGAAACTTTATATGCGGTTAGTGTACAATTATTTACTTCTCTTAGCTATAATAAAAGCCCTGCTTTATCTTCTCAACCATTGAATCTGTAACCCTTTAACTCCCAGAAGTGATTAACATGTAACTTCTCCCCATAATATTCAACATTATTCAGCAAACAAGTAATGAGAATACTCAAACTTATCAGGTAGAAGTTGTTATCTTGATCTAAAACCAAATTCTCGTAACTTACTTACAAGGAAATGTGTGGTAGCTAGAGGAGAATTAATAATCAGTTCTTGGATGTAAAAGGGTTAAGAGTGACTAGCATCTAATTTCCACTAACAATGTCACTTTTGAATCAAAGATTAAATTTAAAAGTCTCGAGGATAAAGGAAGTGATCACTAATGGTGAAAGATTATGATTGTGAAACAAATTGTCCTTGTCAGTTCCTTTAGAAATATCTAAAGAACAGTATTGAGAATATGTAGAGGGTTGAAAAGCTCAGACTATCGATCAGAGGTAACTTGCCATGGGTGAAGAGAATGATCAACGAATGGTGACTCATGTTTGTTCTCAATTTAAATTCTGTTCTACCAGTTCCACTTTGGGATCACTATCACATGGGAAGTGACTACATCATTAAACAAATAGAAATATTTCATTGTGATTAGATTTTCATTTCACTGCATAGAATAGTCCCATTCCTAGTTGATTTGTTGTACTGCCACATAATTTCTTGGAAAAAACTGTGTGGAGAGATTCTAGCAAAAAAAATATGCCTTTCTCACCTCTTATCTGTTTTATTTTTTGTCATTGAAGATTAAAATTTTTTTTCTCATTGCAGAAATAGAAATGGTGAAGAAACTTCAGTGGGTGATGTGCTTATCTCTGAAGGCCTTGCTAAGGTACAATGCAAATCTTTGTGCACTTTAAACATAGCTTGTAAGTGGCATAATCAGAAAATGAAGACTCTTACTGCCAGGAATGTTCATTTGATGAATTCTTCTAAAACTTTTGATACACTGTCAGGGTACCATATAGGTGCTGAAAAACAAGAAAACAATTGTCTCGAAGAGATAATTATCATTTTGATACTCATTATAGGACCAGATTTTCTTAATCCTTTTACTTCCACAATGGACCAAGACATAATTTTTCCTTACATAATTGATCCAATACAAAGCAGACAAGGGATGAGAATAAATGAAAATATCAATAAGGTGATTGTTAGTTGATCCAAACTAACATCACAAGAATTGTATAGAAGATAGTAAGGAGAGTTAGTAAGGGAGATCTTGGGAATGCAAGAATTAATAGGTTACAAGGAAATGTATTTTCTGTTATGTAGGAGAAATAACAGTGATATCTTGGTCCTTAAACCTCTAAGAATGATGAGCATAATTATAATTTTACATATATACATAATACTTTATTAGCATTCCCCTAAGGGCTTTTCAATACTAAACAATACAAAGATATTATGATAATAAATGAATGAAATTATGATTTATAAAAAGGATCATTAAAATACTTCTCTAGCGTGTGTATTTTCAACTTTTTTTTTTTAAATGGTGTTAAAGATAACTGTTGAAAATCATTGTCTAAATTGTTCCAAATGTTGACTGCTCTGTGGAGGAAACGTCACTGGCCAAACTTTGTCTTACTTGGAGGAATATCAAAGGATTCTCTGTTTCTAGTATCATGATAGTGAATAGACTTGCACTTTCGAAAAGACTCGCATAAGTATGTGGGGGCCAGGCCCTTGATGCACCTAACTGTTTTAACCCTTAATCAAGCATTAAGATCGTGAGAATTAACAAAATGATCTTAAACTCAATAGGCTCTTAATTGTTTGAAAAATTCTCCTTGTAAGTACCGTAGGAAATGTACAGAGATAATTAAGAAATTGTATGCTGATGTTAGGAAGTGAGGCATGAAAGGAAAGGTTGAACACCTTTATGAACGATGATGTGGCCAAGTTATTTAAGCTTGTACACTCAGAGTCTGGGTTTGAGACCTGGTGGGGCCATAATGTTGTATTTTTGGGCAAGACTCTTTTCTCTCAGTGCTCCTCTCCACCCAAAAGTACAAAATTGTCAGCTAAGGAGCTTACGATGCTGGAGAGTTGGTGGGGGAGGAGCTATAACTAGCAGTGGACTGGCATCCCATCAAGGAGATGTTACAATATTCTTTGTCACTCCATGCTACTGACACCTGAATAACTCCCCTAAGTGACCAAGACAGAATTTCTCCTTTTATAATAAGTACAATATCTAGCAGACAAGTGATGAGGATTAAAACATTTCAATCAGGGGATTATTTGGTTGATCCAGTACCAGATTCTTAGAACTAACATCCCAAGATTGGTATGGCAGACAGTAAGGAGAATTACTAATGAGATCTTAAAAGTGAAAGGGATAAGCTCTGGCCCTTTGTGGGCCATTTGGTTCAAATGCAGACATAGTCAACATCCATTAAATTATAGGGAATGAGGCACTTGGTCTAATGCATAATACATTGAATTGCTTTTAGAGTCCTGAAGATGTTGTAGGTAAAGGAATATGGAACAAAGATAGCAGTAGTCATCATCAGAAAGACAGCTCTTTCAGGTACATGTATGGATGAATAAATGTTAAATAATTTTGTTTTCATGTCACATATAATTTATTGTGTCCTTAAAATGGTTTTCACCTGTCGTGGAAGCTTTTCCCAACTCAGGTAATATTTTTCAACACATCTTAATCAGTGCATGGATGGCTTTTTTACAAGCCAACTTAAAATTCTCTGCTCTGGAGTGCAAAAGAGTATCGGTGAACTGTTAGAGAACATTGACATAATGTGGAGAGGGAGAACCTGTGGTGGACCAACATCCAATCAGGGATAGTGTGTGTAACAATACTTTCATTTGCACTAGTTTACTTGGCTCTATATTTGATAAATGTAATTTGTAGTTTTATGATATATAGGGTTTGTATGGGTCATGGAATGACATGGTATTTTATAATTTCATTTTCCAGGCCTGGAAAGACATGGAATTTAGGTTTGGCTCATGGAAAATTATAGAAAACCATAGAAAATTAGCAGGCTTTCTATGAGTGCAAAGCAATATAGATCCAAAGTTGAAAAATTAACAAGTCGACAAATAAGATTTAATATCAGTCAAATGAAACAGCATGCATTGCAAGATTTACACTCTCGGACATTTTTGTATTACAAGGCGTTCTTACATGACATCAACCAATTAGTACACTTGCTTAACTTATGTCATGGAATTTTTCAAAAAGTCATGGAAATTTATGGAAATTTTACAACTCAAAAGTGTGAAATCTTGATCTCTGCACTTTTCCTATCTAAATTTACAGTGCACTGAGTTCTGGTCAGCAGAAAAGAATAGATGAACAATGGAACTCACTCTCATTCCATCCACCAGAATCACAGCAACCATCCTGGCAGAAAAGCAATAGTTTCATTACCACCAAAGATCCATTATCTAAATTACCCATTTCTTTTAAAGAACAATCTTCACAGAGGGAACTATTTGATTTAAACAGTAGTGCGTTTAGTCCACCACAAGTACATCATGTTGGTGAATCAAAGAGAGATACAAATGCAATTTCCTTGAATGAGGTTCCTCTTCCACCAAAGCCAGACTTTGTAATACAGAAAAAGGAAAAGAACATTCCTAGAACTTTTGATATCAAAAGAACTGATCCAGAACCAGTGGAATCACTGCGTTCAACAAGGCCTTACTTGGCCAGCCCAAGTGCATTTCTCACTCAGATGCAGACAGGACACAGTTCAAGTTAGTTAAATTTGTATTTGATTATTTAATATACAATGCCATAGAAATACATCCAATCAGAACACTGGAAAGTTGCTGTTTATGTGATACACTCAACCTACCCATGATGGACTTCAAGCTTTTACCCTTCCTAATTGGAGTAATTTTTAGTTTCTTCCAAGAATTCAACCTACAGGTACAGGTACAATACCTAAAGGTACATGATTTTCAGGTTTTTAAAACATTCTCAACATTATAAACATTATGGAGCTAGTGTAATTCCTTTTGAAATGAAGTCTGCAAGAATGTTTCTTGATTGATTTAGCCACTGTATTTTCTATTGCATGGTATGGAATAAGTGCTCTTTTCCTTGTGGTATACTATAGGAATTCATTACTTTACGAGGGAATTCCACATTAAATTGCATTTACAAAAATGGACATCACACAAATTGTGAAGTGATGAGTGCAGTATCTGTTTTCAAACTGTGCAATTTAATGGGGGATTCATAAGTCAAGTAATGAATTTTCCTTGAATCACACAATTGAATAAAAACAACAATAAAAGAAAACAGCATTTCTTACAGTTGTTATGTATACATAGATATGAAACAATATCACTTAGCCTCGTTTTCAACTCGCAATTCCACACTAAATACCTCACTTCGTTAACCAATCAGAATGCGAGGTTTTATTCAGTGATGCAGTTCTATGAAATACCCCACTTTTCACTCAATTTTTTTGTGTATAACTTTGTGACTTGTGGGATATTCCATGTGAAATTATTGCATAACTGGTTTGTATGCAAGGTAAGTAGCAGGTTACACTTTAGGGTGACATTACCACCATCAACATGTTAGAATGGGAACCAAATTTCGTTAAAAGAGAGCTGGATTATCAATAGTGAAATGTGCAAGTCTGGGAATTTATCTACACCAGTTAAACTGTGGTAGATATTCTTCTTGGTTTGAATATTTTCATTTGTCATCATTATTTCTCTTTTTGCTATGATCTCCCTTTTTCTTGACAATATTTATGCTTTTTTGAGTCATTTTTAGCTTTTGGGTGTTGAAAAGAGTTAGTCCTTTTTAAAGGTACTTTACCATAAGCCTTGAAAAATTTACCCAAAATTTGTAGTACTCGCAATCACTTCTAGAGTAGCCATTCAGTGTGTGTGAAAAATGCTATTCACTTGTGGGGTGTGTATTAAATAAACTACGTATTTAGCAGACATTTTTCAATACATAGTTTATTTTTACATTTAATTTTTAGGGCTCTTATTTTTACACTTTTCTAATCTGGTGGTGCTGATGACTTTTAACTTGGTTTTCAGCCAACTCAGTATTTCCAAGCAATGAATCATCTGTGAAGTACCAACCACCTCATCTGCGATTTGCACAAACAAAGATGAATGAAGCAAATGTACCCAACACAGAGCCCAAGCTAGAAAATTTCACCCCCCTCACACAAAGCAGGAACACATCTTTTCAATCAGTTCAGAGGTTACCGCAGTCACCTTTCTCAAACTTCTCCTTCAGTCCAAAACAAGTGACAAGTAACATTGCTGCTCAGTTTCAAACAAACACTGCTCCATATTTAGGAGATACCAATAATTCACTGAGGACACAACCACTGCAACAACAAACATTTCAACCATGGAAACAGCCTGAGTTTCTCAAAACACAGCCATTGAATGAAAATACCAGAGATAAAGAATTGAAAGCAGAGTTGGAGTGGAAAATATGGAAGTTTCAACGACATGTAAAAAAACTTATTGACCGCATGGTAGTGGATGATGATGTAGATTATCTACCTGAGCTTGGCAAATTAATAGCTGACAGCAGAATATCTCAGGACTTTCCAGGAGTTTCTGAAGTGTCAATTACCCTAAAACTATTACTTGAGAGGGTTATTGATAATGTCAAGTTTCAGAATGTGGCAGTTAAAGTGTGCACACTATTAAGAGGTATTTTTTTCAGTAGTTGTTTCATTTATGGTGAAGTTAAGAAAGAAATTTTTAACAAATTACATTTTGTCAATGACTATACCTTGAGCATGTTTTGTTCTTTTCATTATGAACTACCTCTGCAGCAATTCTTAATTAGACACTGCACATCCAATTAGTTGTATATATTGTTTTCTTAGACTTGCGTACACCTGATGCTGGTGATCTTATCAATAAAGAGGTGATGACATGTCAAGAACAGCTGATGGATGTAAGCAATAAGTGATGTATTGATATGGTTAGGTCCATTTGTCAAACCATCAGGCAATATGTATTGTATATAATTTCTGGATACCTGAGGGCAGGGCTTGACGCTAACTTTTCAACTTACTAGCCAAGTGGCCAGTGACATCTAAGATGTTTCTAGAAGTTATGACAATTTGTATATTAGATAATCGCATGGGGCCGAGTAAAATTAAGGATTAATATCACGCGTGAAATCGGAAGTTGCCGAAATTGCCCGAGTCGCACAGCGACAAGGGCAATTTCTGCAACATCCGAAAACACAAGTGATATTAATCCTTTATTTTACAAGGAACCATGTGATTACTTGTTTATAATATAAGGGGCAAAATGTTTTCTTACTGATCTCGTGCAAAATGGGACGTCATTGTTACAAAACAAACAGAAATTTCTTTACCTTGGCAGTCGTTGCTAAGTGATTTTCAGCCAATCATTTTCAAGTAATTTTGCCCGGGGCAATTACAAAAATTAAGAAAAAAAATAATGCCCTCTGTCTTGACCAATCACAATTCAGTAATTTTTCCCCTTATATGATAACAGTCTTTACTAGCCAAACTGGCTAGTGGAAATTGAAAACCACCAGCCAAAACTAAATTATTTTCTACAAGTCTGTGGCTAGTGGGCTACCTTTAGTGTCGAGCCCTGTGAGAGAATTCTCCAGCTTCATTTTGATAGCTGTAGCAATATTTTATTTAGGCTTGGTGCTGTTAAATATTATATTTTCTCTCTCTCTAAACATTACCAAAGGTTTGTCTTGCATTAAATCTGTGTTGTCTGTAATATGATTTCTACTTTCATTTGCTTTAATTTAGCAATCATCCTTAAGTGATATCTGCCAAAGATGTCAAAGATTTTCATCATTTCTTGGTGAACTTTATCTGGAGGTTTTACATGAAGATGACACTAGTGGGTAAGTTCATTAATTATTACAAATAATAAAGTCTTTACTAGGCTCAGTTTTGTTGTAAAGCACACGGAAAGTGGCTAAAGTACAAAAGAAGTGAAGGGGAAACATGAAACGTAAGTGTGTCTCTATTCTGATAAAGCATGCTGTTTCAGCCAATTGGAACACACATTATAGAGAAACATTACTATGATATGAGTTAAAAACTATTCAAGGACCCAATGCAGACAGGGCTGAATAATGAAATACTACGTCAGAGGGTGTGTGGTCATCAACACAGGCTCAAGTGTTCTAGGTCTAAAATTTAACAAAATTAATGGAAAATAATAGGGCCTGGCATTTAAAACCACAGAACTTTGTTTTCATCAAAGGCATTTTTCTATTTCCAGAGGTTTTAAGGAGAAAATTAATTTTTGTAAATATTTTGGGGGTGTACCAAGTTTTAGGAGGTTGTTCTGTATAAGAAAAGCAGCAAGGAAAACTGCTCTGTCCCCAATGTAACAATTTCATTTATTCAATTAACCCCTTGACTGTAGTATTCCCACCCCCACCCCCTCTTGTAATGTTGTTAGCTAAGCAATAATATTGCTCAAAACTTTGATGAAAAACATTACACTGTGGAAGGGGGCAGCTTTTGGCTTTTTGCAATGAATTTCTTCATGGCTGGTAAATGCACTTTTTGCTCAAGGTGTCTCAACAAATTTGCAATTGGTTGTAGAAGACACTCAGCCTTTGTTTCACTTGCAGGTTCTCAACTTGACTATAACTGTATGTCTACTTGTTTAGATTGTTTCCTTTTCAAATTTTGTATTTTATGATTACTGTATTTGTCACAGTTTGAAGTCATCAGTTGATAGTATCATTGCAAATAGTCTCCACAACTGGTTATCATTTGATCAGGTAAGGCTAATGGACGCTTGGAATGATGATAATAATAATAATAATAATAATAATAATAATAATAATAATAATAATAATAATAAGGTAATTAAGGTAATTTTCTATGAACTCTTAAAAGACAAAGACTTAGTGACAACAGTACCACCGTGGTACTCCCAGAACATGCCGAAGCCACTTTACGAGAACAAGAGAGGAAAGGCACTCTAGGACATACCACTATATGCAGAACATGCAGAGGTGAGAAACAACAGGATGGACTGTACGGTTATAGACAAGGAGAGGAAGAAAGTATTGTTACTTGAAATGAGCTGTCCATGGACAGAGAGATCAATTGTGCAGAGAAGACAAACAAGTAGGCCCCACTGCAGTACGAATTAAGAAGGAGATACCCAGAGTACAAGATTGAGCAGCATAACATCATAATAGACGCACTAGGAGGGAGCTCGCGAAGGGTCAAGGAAAGTATACACCAACTGGTTGGAAGTGGTGGATGTCACTCAGTGCTAAGGAACATGCAGAAAGCTGTATTCTCTAGCCTCCTTAATATTGCCAGGGCTTTCAAGGTCCTATTGGACTAAGTTCTTCCAACGACATCAGTTTTAAGTATAGGTTTTAAACATTTATCTCCATTTTAGGGTCTATGGGTATACCATTTTAGAACTCTTAGGTTTATTTTTGTCTGGACCTTTAAGGTCCTATCGGACTAAGTTCCTTAAATGACGTTAGCTTCAAGCATAGTTTTAATAGGTTGATGGAACGTTTGTTTCCTTTAAGGGTCTAGGGGCACACAATTTTTTTAACGTTTAGCTTTACCTATGTAGTAGTGACAATTGAATAGGCTATGCCTTTGGTGCCCTATATCAATTTTATTTGTAATCTGAAGCTTTCAGAAGGGTATACTGCGATTATATAATAATCACTTTATTTGTAATAAAAGTACTGTAATACTTATTTGCATAATAATCAAATATAGAAGAAAACAAGATAATGGCCTAGCTTTCAAAAAGATGTGACAAAAAAGTAGGCTAAAATCTTGCTGTATAAAAAGTCTAAAACATCGTATTAGGTATAAAATGATGTCAACTACAAAACTGTTAAACACTTCTTGGCTCAGTATTCCTGGCTTTGGCTAGAGTTCCCCAGATTTACCTTTCTAAATGCCTTAGCAAGTATTAGCATGTCCTTTTTCAATTTTGAAGTCAATGTCTGACAGCTCTAAGTGAACTCTCCTAGAAACTCAGGGGTCTAATAATGATAATGATAATAATAATAATAACAATTATAATAAAGAAAATTCTTCTAGAGAACAGTTACCTAGTCAGAGTTATGATTAAGATTTGTAACAAAATTACCTTTCCCTACAGGCTGAATCAGTGGCAATTCACAGTGTTAAAGCAGCATGTCTGACAGGATTCTTTAGGATCACAGGACCAACAGTTGACCAAGCACAAGGGTGAGGTTTCCTTTAGTAGTGACTTGTGTTAGATTCTCACTATAAACAGAGAACAGTACCTCTACCATCAAATCATTGTACTGAAGGTTACTGTCTGCAAATACTTGCCATATGCTAGATGTTGAAGCATTAATCCATGCCAAACTAGTTATCTAAATTTACAATATGTGCAGAACTTAAGTTTAGAATCAAATGGGCCTGTAAGTGTCATCTAACTATTTGCATCCATTTGGAAGGTTTTACTCTGCAACTTAGAAAATCCTCTAGATGCTTTAAATCAACTGTTTGGTCAGAGCTTCTCCATAGTTAGTTTGTACCAGGTGCTCTGTAAACAAAGAGTGGTGCAATGTGAGAAAAAGGAAGAATTACCAGATAGTTAGGTTTTTTTTCCTTGCCTATCCCATCTGCTATTCTTTTCACCATTCCACCTTTGTTTACAAATTGATTGAACTTATGAAACAGTCCATTAAATCCACAATATGAACATTTTTTAACCTTTAACTTCCCTGTGAACAAGACAGTAGAATTTTTTTGCTTTGTTTTTAAGATAAAGCCAACTTGCTGATGAGCTTGTCTGTTCTTATTATCTTTTGTCAAGATAATGTAATGAAATCAGGAGAACAATTTGTTTATTTATAACTGCTGGGAATTAAGGTGTATAAGCTTCATTGTCACAATTTATAATATACCCAAAGTAAAGCACACGCTCTGATTGGTCAATTTAGCGTCCCCCATTTGCCCATGGGTGTACGCTGCTGATGTGAGTAAATGCAAAGACTATTTTTCTGCGCGTGCTTGTTTTTCCTGGTCACGTAAGATTTGTTAAATAAAAGGGAACTCTTTAGCTACAATGTATCAATGTTATGTTATAAAACAAATGGTAAACACCACAGGGTACACTATTGAGTTATGGATGCCTGGGGCGGATCCAGGATTTAGTCAAGGGGGTTCGGAGAATTGTTCCCCTTCTGCGGGGTCCAAGATTTTGAAAATTAGGTCTTCGGAAACAGGATTTCCAGCGTTCTGAGGGAAAATTTAGGGGGTTCGACCGAACCACCCGAACCACCCCTGGATCCGCCCCAGGATCCGCCCCAGGATCCGCCCCAGGATACACTTGGGAGGTTTGCTAAGTACTCAAGAAGCTAGAGTCACTCTCGGCTATTGCCTCGAGCGACTCTTACGCTTCTTTCATGCTTAGCAACTTCCCGCGTGCATCCATAACTCAATAGTGTACGCTGTGGTGTTTACCATTTGTTAAATACTGTTGCTCAATGAAGTTCACTTGGGGAATGTGTTGAATATCACATTCCTTGTCTTGATAGCTTTTGATGGTTTTGTTGATATATTTTTCTTAAAAATTTGTACACAGGAATGATATCTCAAGATATTTTGCTACAATCAGGGACCTTGTACTGTCACCAGATCTTGCAGTGTAAGAATGTAATGACACTAAAGATTTTGAATGAGGCTAATCACTAGTTTGTATTTGTTTGGTCTGTTTTGTCATTTTCCAAAGCAAAAAATGGGGTCCATGGGAAAGCAGGTTTCTAAAGTTATGTTATCGTACATTCTCTTATGTCATAGCTACAGACAATAGATTTTATATATGTAGAAGTGACGTCATACCTACAGACAATAGATTTTGTATATGTAGAAGTGACGTCATACCTAAAGACAATAGATTTTATATATGTAGAAGTGACGTCATACCTAGAAACAATAGATTTTATGCACACTTGTCTTTACAAGTGCAGCTCAGGAATATGCATAGTAAAACAATTATTGGATTTGGTTGGCACATGATAGCGATAATTATCAAGGCCTCAGCTTGTGTTATCTGCCTCAACCTTCAGCTTTGGCAGATAGCACAAACTTTGGCCTTGATAATTATCGCTATTATGTTCAACCTCGTCCAGTAATTGTTAATTCAGTGACATGGGGCGAGTAGATTTCCATGCTGGGTAGGCTGTGGTTTCTAGCTTATTTACCCATTGGGCAAAACCACAGCCAGTTCACAATTCAATCCAGTCCCTGATCCTTTCACCCCCTAGATCTCATAAGTTACTCTCTACGAACAAACAAACAAACCCTTTATTTACCGAGGGTAAAATACATTATTATTCGTCCCTATCCGAGAAGATTAGAATATCTAACCATTTCTTGATGTTATAGAAAGGCAGTAAATTCTTCTCAATTATTTCAAGACCCTGAGTGCTGGTCTGGCCAGGGCTCGAACCCTCGACCTCCCGCACAACAGTCCAGCGCTCTATCCATTGAGCTAACCGGGAGGCGGTTGGTACTGGATCAACTACTAATCCCTATATTCATATTTTTCTTTATTCGCATCGCTTGTCTTCTTGAAATTGAAAAGATAATGTAAGGAAAAACTATGTCTTGGTCACTCATAGTAGTTAAAGGGGAAATGAGATGTCAGATTTTCTTTTCCTATACCTCTTTTCCTATTTTCCACAGCGCCTCTTGGATTGTCTTCTTTATCTCAATAGGCCGGTCAAAAGTACCTTGCTGGACATTTTATTGTTACGAGCATCAGGTTGGAAGATCAAAGATGATGTAGAGAAGCAAAAATCTGAAGACTTATCAATTGACGATGAAGTGTTGGTTGAGCCTGAAGATGACCTGACAGAGGAACAGCTCCCAGAGGGCACTGGGAATGAGAGTGAAGGTATGACATAATAAAAGGGCTACTTTTAGTCCTTTATATTTATTTAAAAAAAAAAATGTACGATACGTTTCTTGGTTTATAGTGTGAAGGGCAGTGTGCTGAATTCCAGATCAAAAGGTTACAATCAATGAGCAGAAGATAACTTCATTTAAAAGCAATAAAACAAGTTTCCACTCTTCGAGAAATTTTCATGTACATAATTTAAAAGGAAGAGATGTGCCTGGAGTCTTAAAGGTCAAACGTTTTGATGACATGTAAAGCTTGGTACAGCCTATCTGAATATTTGGTCAGAGTCGCGAGCAATACTCCAAGTGGAGACAGTGAAATACGCACAAGAATAGAGCGATAACAAACACTATAAGTGGTCTAAGACTGGTAGTCAAATCGTCAAGATGTCTGTAATTAGTTTGTGTAATGGATGTTCCTTTCTAATTTTTTTGTGTAATGCAGAATGGGACCCATACTACAAAGTCAAGTTGATGTTAGAAAACCTGAAACTGCAGGATTTGCTGCAAAACTTTTTCGATAACTGTATTCGGGTGAGTTTCCCCCTAGTTTTTGGAGCGTCATTAGCTGATGTAGGTATTTATCTCGAAATTGACTTTCATTGTCCATTTATCACCTGGATGTTGTTTGTTAACTGAAAGGTGAAGGTTGGAAGTGTGAGATTTAAATTTTAGCAGCTTTAAGCGTAATCTAGGAATATTTTGAGCCTCGTGCCTGATTAATAATTTTTCAGGACTCTCTCCTCACTGCTGATTGGGAAGAACTTAAAAGAACTCTGCAGGTGAGGCTATTCTTTTTCTAACGAATGATTGACTGTGGCATTGTCATTTACATTTTATCAGGTATGTGATGCAGCTTGCTGGGAGAGAAGTTGCCATGTTACGTTTTCGCCCTTTTTCAGCGTTATTTGTCAAATTTATAGCAATCACAACCGCTAATAAAACTTGGGAAATGTCGTAAGGGACCATTTAGAAGCGCCAAGTAATTACATAGAGACGTTCTCAAGGTTTAAGTTTTGCGTCTGATCGGGTGTGAAGCTAAGGTGGGGTGAATTTAGCAGACCAATCCCCTGCGTGATACATCGAAAGTGATCGTGGATTGTTTCAGTTGTATTCTTTTACTTCTCTTTGTGATTGGTCGAGAAAACTCGCGTTACCATCTCGACCAATCAAATGCAGAACTAGGATCAATCCTAACCTTTCACTCGTGTTTTCCCGCGCCTCAAGCTGGTTGCCTATTTTTACTTTTCTTACTTTTTTCGTTGGTTAATAATGATTTAAACCTTTGTTCTGATTGGTAGTTGTGATTATTTTAGTTTTGTTTTTTTCGACATTCAATTGAAAATTGATCTAAAGCATAACTACTGCATACTTGTAAATAACGGGTTTTTAAGTTTCAAAAGAAACTGTGGTGCTGCTTCGGTAGGAGTAACCAGGTAATTTGGGTTTTATCAACAGAGTTGATTATGTAAAGTGGCTACTGTAAAGGATTTCAAAGCCTTTACGGTGGCCAATTTACATTACAAACTCAGTTGATTAAGCCAAAATTATACTGCTAACTCGATTTACTTTCAACCTAAACATTTTTACATTTTCTTACTTTTTTGAAAGAACGGCCTTTAGAGAAAATATTTTTTTTTCGTGCGGTCTCTTTATTAACAACATAATTTTGTTTTCCAGGAGGCTGGATTTCCCCCTGGAGTTATTTTGGAAATAAGAATGTACTTAGACAAAGGTGAGATTGGTCAGGACATGCGGTTGTGTTTGCTTATTTGTTTTGTTGTCGTTTTTAAACTAAATTTATTATTATTCCCGAAGGGCTACTGGAGGAAAACGGGAAGAAGATCTCGAAACCTCCTGCACACCAAACGATCGATGCACCATCTGATGGAAAAAATAAAGAGGTGAAGAACGAAGTCCCCAGATCTCCTTCGCCGTCCAAATCAAACGAGGGCGGTGTTGCTATAACCCAATTGAATCAGGAGCTGCAGCAACTCATGATCGAGGGAAATCAAGACAAAGGAGGACAAAAAATTTCTCCAACGAGAAAAATCAGCCCCGTCAGTCAACAAACAGGACACGAAGGAACACCTTACAGCAGGGTGGGGCCCCGTAAGTATTTTAGCAGGGCCGAGAGGAGACGGTCATCAGAGGGCTTACCTGAAGACCTACCTTATTTATTACCAGATTATGCTGATAGCTTGTATGAGAGGATGGCTCCTTCTCCTCGCGCTCCAGTCGAGCCCGTCAATAAACGCCCCACCGTGGGAAAAAGTTCGGAAAGTCAAACTACATCTTCAGTGTCATACAGTTCTGTACTTAAAGGCGTTTCACAGGAAGCAACTAAATCTGGGCCAGCCAAAGCAAAAGAAGGTCAGTCCAAGACATTTTCCCGGCCCCCACCAGGGTTTCCGCCTCTCCCCACCCATGGAGGGGACACTAAGATGCACATGACAGTGCTAGGCAACAAGTCGAAGACAAAAGCCCTCGGGCCATCAAGTAGTACCCCGCGAAACAACACCCCAAATAGAGCTGACGCTAGTATGAACTGGCGAAACGATAGCCGGCAAGAACCTCTCAACCAAACCGCTATGCGGCCAATAAATCCTCCTTCTGGACAGGGAGTGAACTGGAGATCGTTTGATGATACTTTTTCTCAGACTGAAAATAAAGCGCCACCGATGTCTGGAGACTCCATTGACACTTCTAGCCAGAGAGGAGAAGCACCGCAGGAAGATCAAGCCTCTGTGAAATCCGATGAATCTAATGAGCCCCCGCCGATTATACAACCCCACCGGGCATTTGGCCCTGGTGGATTGAAGTCTTGTGTGATATGTGGTAGTAGGGATCACCTACGGTGTAACGACCGCTCAAAAATGTTCATGGACTGAAGAGAACAGTATTTAACACCGAAGCGCTTTTCGAGTGAGTGTCGTAAAACCAAACCAATCACTGAGGCTGTTCAGAGCACAGATGAAAATGAGAACTCACAGTAATTAGAAGTAAACGACGTTAAATGCATAAAAATGCAAGTGTCGTTGCCGCAGTTGTTCCAAGTTTTGCATCTGATTGATTTAAAAAGATGGCATTACTTTTTTTTAGTGCAATGATTTGGTGAAGAAGGAAATCAATACAATCCCACAGTGCTTGTGACGTTAACTTGAGAATTGCTCCAACGAGATTTAGCTATAATTTCCAAGATATCCTTTGACTTTGTTAAAGTTGTTTCGTGTAGTCTGAGCAGAACACGGCTGTCAAAGGAGCTTCTTATTTAACCCTGTGACTGCTTACAGTGAGTAGCATCTAGTTTCTCCTTACAATGTCACCCTTGAATCAAACCTTAAGGTCATGAGAATGAAGGAATTGATCATCAGCTGAAGAATCTCTTGATCGTTGAGCAAATTCACCTTGTCAACACTATAGGAAGTGTATAGAGAACAGTATGGAGAATATTCATATTGATGTTAGAGTGTTAAGGGTCAACGGTAGCACCGCGGGATCTATTTCTTGAGCACTATCATTTCTTGAGTTTACGTTGGCAGCGTCAAGATCTTTGTTTCTAAGTTAAAGTTAACGCGGTAATCGATCATATAAGATTTTTTCCGTTCTATTCGAGATTAAACCAACTTAAAACCAGAGCCTATTTATATAATAAACGTCTAATTAGTGACTCAATTTGGGTTACTCTTGTTGGTTTTAGTCGTTTTAAAGTTTCCTTTGATTATTGAATAGTTTTCGATACAAAAAATTACCTTGGTAATGCCATAGTTATTCAAATACTTTTTTTGTCTTACTGCATAAGAGTGCTTTATCAAAGTTTTTAAAACGCGTGGGTTCATCGTACATTCAATTCAAATTCTTTTCACATAGACAATTTGGTTCTACCAACCGAGTTGATAATGCAAAGAGTTCCCAAAGCTGACGTTTCGAGCGTTAGCTCTTCGTCAAAGCGAGTGAACAGTGGAGCTACGCCAGTGCTCGGCACATGAGATAAATATTTTCTTCTAGTTCTTAATTCTAGAACACAAATTTAAAAGGTTAGGAAATGGGGCCGCCCCCAAACCACCCAGAGAGAAGGGATAACCCAGTGGTGCGGATGGTCGCGTTCCCCACAATAGTGCCCCCACCTTTCGTTCCCAAACCATTAACATTTTCGACCCCCACAAGTGATTAGCATCTAATTCTCCTTACATTATCATCCCTGATTCACACATTAGGTTCATGAGAATAAAGGAAATGATCACCAATTGTAGGAGCTCCTGCATGTTAAACATTCTCCTTGTCAACACCCCAGGAAATGTCCAGAGAACAGTATGGGGAATATGAATACTGATGTTGAGGTATAAAGGGGAAAGCTAAAGGCGGTGGACATTTCTCCTCGAGTTTTTTTTCAAGTTCGCAGGTTTTCCCCCTTGATTAAAACCAATGTCCAGAGTTCACATTTAACCCAAGTCACTTGCAAAGACGTGCCAATACCAAATATCATTTCTTTACTTGTTTAATGCATATAACTGCCTTTACAACTGAAAATGGCAATTTAAACGGAAAACTTTAATTATTAATAGCCTAATAATTTGACAGTTACTGTTAATATTAAAAACCTATGGAATTGACATGTGTAAGAGGACGATATTTACAATTTTATATTTTGTAAAATTTCTCATACAAAAATCTTTAAAATCTGAATTGTGCAAATAACTAATGCACTACCATAAATCCTTTCAAAGGATACTTGAGCCAAGAAAAGAAATCTTGTGCTACATTAGATCTTACAGAAAATAGTGTGCATAAATTTGTACCCAGAAAAAGAAAATTAAGAAATATTACTGCGAGACCTAAGCAGAAAACAGAGTTTTGAATGAAGAAAAAATTGTTACCGATTGGAAATTCGTTAATTCTAACAAAGTTGATTAAACATCCAACTGAAAATAAAGATTTCACAAAAATAAAATCAAACAACCCGATCCATATTACGTTTTTATGATTACCTCTATCGTAACTTTGAATTTCAACTAATAGCACTTCGTGTGTCAAATATCTGAATTTCTGGAGACGATTAATTTATGTCTGATTCAAATATAGAACAAAAAAAAAGGTACACATTGATCAATCATTTACTTTCAACAAGCCTTCTATAATATTCACATTCAGAACAGTTTGCAATTTTGTGACCACCTTGAAAACTGTTTTCCAGCAATAAGAAAGCCATAGTGCTGCACCAGCCTCGTTCCTGCGCGCTCTCCCCTTCAAAGAGGGAAAAGCGCCCTGGGAACGAGGTTGATTGCTACACGACCCAAAATATATTCCCATTGATGTAGCACTGACACAGGTTTAGCTTGAAATGTGAATTGCTTCAAATTCTACCACTACTCACTTTCAAACAGAAAACAGTGGAAGCCTTTAACTCCCGTGAGTGACCACGACACAATTTCTCCCCGCAATATTAATACAATATCAAGCAAACATGTGACGAGACTAAAGAAAAAATATCATTTGGGAAATTATAAGTTGATCCAATGCCATATTCTCCTCACTAACATCATAGGAATCGTCTGGCAGACAGTAAGCAGAATTATGATTGAGATCTTTAGAATGAAACAGTTAATAATGTCCATATCTAAAATGAAGTCGATCATTGGTTCCTGATTGTTTTTGTCAGATCGTGTACATATATCTTATTAACCAAGCGCGAGAGCCGTACTGGGAGAATATCGGCCCGAGGTCTTGACAGTACGGACCGAGCGCAGCGAGGTCCGTACAAAAAATACCGAGGGTCGATATTTTTCCAGTACGGTCCCGAGCAAGCTTGGTTAATAAGAGATTCATTATACGACTGAAGTTCAAAGGGACACAAGTGCGGTATCATTCGGGACCATTCGGGACAGTGCCCGGTCCAATACTGAGAGAATATTGACCGGCAATAGAGCATTTTGATTGGTTGATTTTTGTTATTGGCCCTCTGACTGCCCGAGTCGTGTAATAATCTTAATCATTTGTTATATTATACATGGACTGTAAGAATCAGATCACGGCCACTGATAGTTGAAACGTTTCTAATGACGATTGAATTAAAGTCTTCCTGATAACTTCATACACTTAGAAAATCGCGATAGAAGATTTCATATTACACATTTTGATTTAAAAAGGACGTGAACTGTTCAGAGACAGAGATTCACTCTAATGACTTCTGAATAGCTGTTGAGTAAATCTAAAGGCCTCTTCACAATACGCCGAATAAATTAAAAAATACAACTCTATGTATACTACGTCCAGGGAACACACGGATCCAGAAGAACCTGGAGTAAACTAAGAAACAGCGCCTTTTCAAAATGCTCTTTAAAGTGGATAAATTTGATAGTCATCGTCTAGTCCTGTTGTGGATCTTTAAAACGAACATTTCGAAAACGACTAGACTGCACTTTGTAGTTTTCCAGGGGAATGATTAGACCTTTCGGATCAGTGTCATTATCTGAGCAAATGTGCACCCACCCCTCCCAACAACAGTCAAATGACAACAATATGGGGTTAATGTTGGGTTAGGGAGGGGTTAGTGCGCAGTTGCTCAGATACTGACGACCTTTCTCACACGAATGCGGCCCAAGGTTGCAGTCAAGCTTTTCTACCGCCGGTGATCACTGCAGTGTGAACTGAAAAACTCTCTTTGTTTTCTAGTGTGGACAGAAAAATTATCTGTTTTCTACTGTGAACGGTAGACTTTCGTTGCGTCGGCAGACTTACTTCGCCGCTTGAAATTTATTAGGCGTAATGTGGATGGTACCTTAGTGATAAGCTTTGAACTAAATAATCGTTATCAGTTTGACTTTCAAGTTATGCACCTTATTAGTTATTAGATCATTTCATATCTATAGCACAGAGTTAAACTGTTGGAGTTATTTACGGTCACGTTCGTCCCCTTCACACCTCTGTCACGATGTCACGCTATCTTTCTTTGCAAAAGCAGAGTTGCAAGGTACCAGTAGAGATAGCCTTGATCCTTCCGTGTCCAATTTCCTAACATAGGATGATCTCGTGATTCACGTTACTGGTGAATTCACAAATCATGATTACCCTCAATTACGCTATTCTTTTGGGCTGTGGATCTTGTGACCTCCTCAATTACGAGAACTGACAATTCAATACATTACAGAAGCTCCCGAAGTATCCGCATCCAGCGTCTTAAGTCGTTTCAGGATCGATTCATTTAGTTTTCTGCGATCGCGGTCGACTTTCTTTAATGATAAAATTCGCTTCTTCCCCGTGTCCGTCATCCTAAAACAAACATCGCCTTGTTAAATCAATACTTCGCAATATGAGTAAAATTTCACCCCCTATGAGGCTCTGCAGTATTCTTATGATCTCCCTCCCACTGGCAGATCTGATTATGAATTCTCCCCTCTAGCTGCTACACATCTCCTTGCAAATTAGTTACGAGAATTTGATGGTCTTTATACCCTGTTGACGACGACGGTCTGCCATCCATTTCCCCCTGAATATCATGTGATCCTAAACAATCTCCACCTTTCTCCCCCCCCCCCTTTCCCCAGGTGATAAATAAAGGCTGGTACCTAAGCCACAATCGAGGGGTTCGTTTGAAAATAGTTGTACTCCTTTCCGCTTAGTAGTGTAATGTTTTCATAAAACTAAGTTATAAGAAACATCGACTGTGTCATTGAGGAAACAGAGTATCATATTTTGCCCCTCTATGGAATTGTTCAAAGAAAATCTCTTTTCACGACACCCATATCCATACTGAGTTTGCCGTAAGCAAACCTTAGCTTTATGGTCAACAATATGGTTAAGACGTATAAGTTACTAATAAGTTTAAACATGACCTTTACGACAACAAAAAACAGCAAAGTACACACTTCTTAAACTCACTTAAATCTAAATGATGTAGAAAATTAACTGAAACTTATTTTTCAAACACAGTGCCTATGTCAAATAAAAAACGCGTGTGTAAAAAGGGCTACCGGCGGACAGCAAGAATTCTAATTTTTTCCGTTTGACCAAATGTCATGCTTAGCTTGACCTTGCTTGTGCATAATGTTTCGACCGCTTCCATGCTTAAATAATATTTAAAAGTCACTTACTTCTCCAGGAGTCTCGCTACAACTTGAGGGTTTACTCTACTGTATTTACTTGTTGGGTAACCATGTTCAGCAAAGTAGGTCGACCAGTCTGCATTCAACAACAAATCTACCAACTAACAAACATAAAAAGGTCTAAAAAGTGAGAAGCACGAAACAGTGGAGATAGAGAAGAGACTGGACGCAAGACACGAACAGTTACGGCTCATAGTGATCTTACCTGTCTCAATTCCAGAAATGTCATTTGTAGTGTTCCGTCGCTTATCCCCTCTACTGGATTGGAGTTAACGAACTCTGAAACAATTTGAGACAGGTTTGTGAAATTATGGATATTTGTTGCCTTTTCAAATCAAGCAGTATTTAGCGAGCATCCACACCCCCTTTATACAGAAAACGACTGCACCACTATATCAAAAATCGTCCATTGCTAAAATATTTATGTTACAAATGCAATAATCGGTTGAGTTTTTTTGGAACGTTGCGCTTTTTCAATGTCAATTTAAGAGACAATTGATTTTAGAGGTAAGCACTCTGAACCCCAGACAAAAATTACACAAAATGCACAGTAAACAATTGTAGCTTGAAGAAAAACCGCGCGGTGCCAATGGCGGGAAAATTAGTAGACCACAACGAGACTAGTTCACTAGCTCGTTCTTGATTGGTTGATTGAACAAAATATTTGTTTTGATTGGTTAAACATCCTGCACTGCCCGACACGAGCACCTTGCATTAACAACAAGGTTGCGAGTCGCAGCCATGTTTTCAACTCCACTGAGATACAAAGAAATGGGATCAAACCAAAAGGAAATTACCTTCACATTTCCTCAGATCTTGGTTAAACCCGTCCAAGCCGTGTGAGTTCATCTGCTTCACCTGTTAAAAGGAAGCAAATGGTCAAAAACAATCGCAGAGAGAGGAGAACTTTCAAGTACAACAACACATTTATGTATCGAAAATAGGTAAGTCGTACGAACAGTGTTTCATTTAAGACCTTAAAAAGAGAAAATTAAGAGTAGCAAAGAACTTCTTCTAATTAACTTAGGGAACTATGTAACGTGATACCAGCTTTCTGTCTCTATCGATGAAAGCAAGTAAGGACAGTTTAAAGTTCGAGTTAAAGCTTCCTGTTCCTACCGATGAAGATTAGTTATAAAAGTGAAATGTACGAGCAACAAGCCAATCGTTCCACATGTTGCAAACATGGCTTTCGTTTATTCGTACCTCTTCATCTAGTAACATCTCTCTGAGCTTCGTCGCGAGATATTTACATGAAGACATGCAAGCCGTCTGGGCCACATTGCCCTGAGAAAAAAGAAAGAAATACACTTGATCGAACCTGCTTAAATGTACAAGTACAGCTATAACAGTCAAAATAGAACAAAAAGATGTAAAACAAGTGTGCAAGACTTACCGGCAGCGTACTGAAGTTTAGAAAAGTGGTGTGAAGATAGTCCAACAGATCCACCAGATAGCTACTGGCATGCAATCTGGAGTTCACTGGAACCCAGTTGTAATTCGCTGAAAACCAACATACGCTGTTGAATGGGTTTCATTCCTTCAACAACATTTATTTTACGGAGATTATATCAGGAAAGAAATTATAAAAAAAATAAGAATTGACCGAAGAAAAAAATAGCTCTGTTAAATTAATTGGTTTCAGAGTTCTTATTCCATTTGTTTCACAGAATGGCCGAAGAATGTGTAAATCGATAGAACAACTGAAGTAGCACGGTTTTCATTGCTGTGTTGTGGTTAGTATTAAGCCTTCGCTTTCATCACATTTTCTGTTTTTGTGACCATGGTAAATCTTCACCTCTCCGTCCACCTCGCAGACCTCGCACAAGGGCTTATATGAATATGGTTATCAAATGAACAGTCACGTAAAAGGGTACTTCGAGTACAGTAGGAGTATGGCAATCGGATGGAAGGTCCCCCCCCCCCCAAGAAAGGTTAGTATGAAGGAAGTATAAAGCTATAAAGTCTGCGACAAATTATTGTAACAAAAACTTAACGCGTCCCTAAAAAGTTTAAAAATAGTTTCTCCGGAAAACTTTGAATTCCGAAGGCCCTACTTATCAACAATGACGAGATTAAATCTGTTTTTTTTTTCCATATATTAATTTTGCGTTTTAAACTATTGACACGAAGCAGGGATTTTAAGAACCAAAAGTATGGAGGCCGAATTGAGTTTTGGGTTCATCGGGTTGTTTATTGTTAGCTTACTTAAGTTCCAATTGACTCCGTCACGAGACAACTCGCCCGCTTACCAACTTTTCTACAAGTCTCTTCAAAGTCGCCCACGGGTCAACATCGCCTCTAAATAAACTCTCCTAAAAGTGAGCTCGCCCGCATGACAACTAGCCTAAAGGTCAGCTCGTCTACAACTCAGAACTACTTTGTGTTAAACACTTTCTTTACGTATTATAATTATCATTACATACCTAACTCTAAAAAGTCTTCTATTTTCATGTTGAGTCTTTCGTAAACTTGTTGTTCTGCCTCAGCTCTCATATCCTGGTGAGACAAAGACACTTACACGTATTTTTACGTTACCACGCCAAACGGCTTATATTACTGGAATAAATTTTACTTGCAAACAAAATCATCAACGAAGCAAAAGCAAAAACCTCTATCTACGATACATTCAAAACAAATCGGACCATGCACTATAATACATATCTATGCCACCGGACACAATACATGGTAGGTCCTTCTGTAAACCCTCAATACACACCCATCCGGCCATAAACTCGTGATGTGATAACATCCAAAAGTACATTTAAAATAATGAGGAATAATGAATAAGAAATTTAAGGGCAATAAAATTTTCAACTACTCACTTTGAACGACGACAACCCATAAACTCGCGAAACATTAATTCTTTCACTGGAGGTTCTGTGGTTGAAAACCAGCAAAGATAAACACGGTTATTTTAAATGTTGTCTGCTCTACTTATTCACAGTAACTCCCGAGGTACTGGAATATACCCTTCAATTTTCTTGTAGATGTTTTGAATGCGAAATACTCAAAAGATTAACCTAATATATGAACCAAAAATAAACTATATGAAAATTTTAATTAGAAAAAAAAAAGAGACCGGTTCAACATCTACATACCCTGTTACTGCAGTCACATACTCTTCAAGATGATTGCAGGCCTCTTCTAAATGAATTGTATTGATGGACATTTGAACAAGCTGTTAACCAAAAAAAAAACATATAGAAAAGAAAAACTAAAGTTACATCAAAGTAATAAAGGCTGATAGTTTCGAAAGAAACTGTTTGGGGCTGCGTCGGTGGGAGTAACGAAATAATTTGGATATATCAACAAAGTTGAAATGGTAAATTGGCCACCGTAATGATTACAAAAGCTGACGTTTCGAGCGTTAGCCCTTCGTCGGAGCGAAAGGGTTACATCAAAGTAACCACACATATCAGTGCATGAATACACTAACAAACAACGCTGACATAAATTTCATTGCATTTAACTTACCCTGACGTTACGACATACAACTGAATACTATCTTGTAATTCATTCACCCAGTCATTATTTCGTTTATTCTTTAATCTAGTAGCTCATTCATTGAACTATCCATTGCGTCATACACTCAATTTCATGAAACAAGACATTTACGTGTCTACTTATCTATAACTATCCCACGCTATTGATTGAATGCTTGATTCAGAAGCATACCCACCTGTGGAATTGACATTGTTGGCCTTCTAATAATAGATGTTATGCAACCTAAAAAACAAAACAAAAAATTAATAATGATTTGTCCAATGGTTACAAGGATCATAGTAAAATTTCTGTTTTCCATGGCTATACTCATCTCCAAAGCCACACTCACCATTTAGTGTTCTTGTTAGTAGTAAATTTGTTGACTTCCGCACCGAATCTCCAATCTCAGTTTGACTAAAGAAAAAGATAATACAGAATGTGCCCATAAAGTTCAGTTTGAGTTAGTGGTACTAAGTCTATGATTAGAAGTTTGTAAGGGAAAGCCTAATGCAACAGCCAAAGTAAATTGCCTATGGAGAAAGACCTGACTCCATTCAACATATTGACAGTATCAGTAGATCACCTGAAGCATTTTAAGATACTTGGCATTACTGTTACCATCTAATGACTCAATTCACACTCTTAAAGAGGCAAGTGTACATCTAGTGAAAACCTCAGACAATAATTACAACAACAGAAGGAAGATCATTAATCTCCATGGAAATACCCATGATTATCAATTATGGGGTAAAAAATAATGTACATATTACCTGACATTGAGGTTTTCATTGAATTTTAAACATGACCTTATGTAGTGTTTGACCTGCAAAGTAGAACAAGTGATAATTTAATATTTATTGGCATTACAGGCTGACTACAACTTGTAAGGCATTTAACTGGCAGTTTAAAAAGTACCTCTTGATAGATCTTAGTGACACCCTCTGAAAATGGAAGCTGCCTTGGGAAAGGATGCTTAGGAAACAAAACAAAAAAATGTTCAGAGATTATCACATTAGATGAACAGTGTTGCATTCCTGGCAAAAATAAAAAACAGCCACAACCTATTGATAACCTGTAAACTGTAATGTTGACCTCTAGTAAGACTATTCAATAAAAACAAATGGCAATGACAACAGTAGCTTTCAATAATGCAAAAACCATCAATTTTAAATTCTAGTGTCTTATCTAGGATAACAGCTTATGCAAATGAGGTTGCTACCATTTGAGTCCAAGCAACTCAACACGATTTCACATTCTCAAATCATTCTATGTTGCAAATTGTGAGCAAAGAAGTGTGCCACAGACCATCATGGAAGAACAACAAAAATGAATCAAAACAAGATGCACAAATGTTATGGTCACATAATATGATCACTAGATGATGATGATGATGATGATGATGTCAATCCACTCGATTGTAATTTGTAATTGTAACTTGTAATTGTTTTTTTTTTTTTGGTTGTTTGATTGATTCTGTAGGAGTCTCGTTAATGGAACATTAGCTCTGTGAGATCTCTCTTGCCAAATTGTTTTTGGTGAAGCTTACAAATAAATAAATAAATAAATAAATAAATGGACCTTCTAACTCCCTCTTTAAAAACTTTAACTACGTATACACCTCATTTAATACCTGTACAACCTCTGTGTCATCAAAAGGAAATTCCTTCAGGGTGTCACTGTACTCAGTCTCATCTTGGCAAAGCATTGGTGCATAGTTATCTTCATCAAAAATTTTCCTTTGAGGAGAAACAAGAACAAATCAGCAAGAGAAAAGAGAGGTTGTGCTAAAAGCTTAAAATACCATATGAATAAAGGCTAATAGTTTTGAAAGAAACTGTTTGGGGCTGCGTCGGTGGGAGTGACGAAATAATTTGGATATATCAACAAAGTTGAAATGGTAAATTGGCCACCGTAACGATTACAAAAGCTGACGTTTCGAGCATTTGCCCTTCGCTCCGATGAAGGGCTAACGCTCGAAACGTCAGCTTTTGTAATCGTTATGGTGGCCAGTTTACCTTTTCAACTTCGTTGATATATCCAAATTAAAATAACATAGTCAGGGGTTTCATTAATGTTTTCTGCAGGAGGGCAACTGGTTTTCACAGGAGGGCAAAACTCTTTGAACTGAACTTCTTTATAGGATAAACTTTCCTCCAGATGGTCAAATCAGGTGGGAAAAGCCACCCTCATAACCAGTCAATTTGCCCCGTGCCTGGCCCTTATTGAAACCCCTGCATAGTCCAATTAGCTCTAAAAAACTTGAAACACTCTCACTTGCAATGTATACAAAAATAGAAATGCAGCTTAACTCTACTTCTAAAATTACTCCTCATTCAATAGTATAGTCTATACACTGAATGCAAATATGGCATCCAATTTGAGTTGCCATTGTTCTGGACTGACAAGCCTCTCACACGTGTAATAATCCTTTTGTATTTCCACATGAAGACAAGGCTAGTGAGTCCAGAACAATGGCAATTCAAATTGGATGCTATATTTGCATTCTGTGTATACACAGACTACTTTGCTCACTTCATATCAACAATTAATGGTATCATTACATACTTGAATATAGCTTCCCAATCCTTTGACAAAATTTCATTGTACTGAAGTCTAGAAAAGGTATACGAAGAGGGTAAAAGTTACAGATATATGTACAAAGAACAGAATTTTCATCAACTAATCTTAATTATCACTCTATATGGTGTCCTTGGATGCAAAACCATTGTAAACATTTTATACTTGTTTTCACTCAGACATTTAAAAAAAATTGTTTGGCTCCATACAACCCTTGGATGGTACAAAATACTAATAAATTGTACCAGATAGAAGTTACAAACTCTACCTATTTTGGTTACAGATAGCAAAAGTCTGCAATTAATCAGAAAAGGACTTTCCTGAACAGTTTAAAAGAATTATTCAATTACAGTGAATGATAGAGGCCTTATTAACAGGATCATAAAATTACAACACTGGTAGTTCATGTTACTAGTAACAATTAGGATTCCAACCTTACCTCATTTCAAGAAGAACATCAAAAATTTTATTTACATTAAATCCAAAACCCTGAAACAAAAGATGAAAAGAAAATACAGAAATGTCAATTTTCAGATAAAGGCATCCAAAGTTTAACATCAAACATGAACAAGAGGTATGAAGTATACATACTGACAGGGTGTGACAGAACCACACAATGAGTTCTTTCACTTTTAAAAGCAGAGATGGCTCTTCACAATAGGCCTAAAAAACAGCAGCAAGATGTCAGTTAAAATGTAAAACATCATGAAAAAGAAAATGGAGAATATGCAGTCATATGCTTCATTTATCATTATTTTACCCTCCTAGAAAAGCAAAGGTTACATCCCTGACTTATACTACTGAATAAATACTTAGAAAGAAGTGCTCATGGGTTTCTTTTAGGACCCTGATTTACAGTATACATGAAAATAATGTCATGTACAAGTAGGATTTCTTTTAAACTAAAAAAAAAGAGCAACTCAACAGAGCCAAGACTGGGTACTATTCAGCTGAATCATTCCAGGCATTCCAAGAAGCTTGAAAGTGGTTTGAGCAAATTCTAAATGTGAAGTTTTTTCACTCATCAAAACAATTTGGATTGTACACTTAATTTCACACTGAAATGGGAAATGGCTGCTATGCTTATTTCCTCAATGGTTTTTCAATTTAATCACAAATATGCTTTTTTTATCAGTAATTACAGTATGGTAGACTAAGGTGAAAGTAACTGGCTATAGATATCAGACTACCTGCCATTTTTGGCAGGCTACTAAGTCTCATAACAGCCCTGATAAAAAAATGCAATGCTGATAAATTTTCCTCCTACCGACTGTGTGCATGTGATGAGAACAGGTGCAATCTTGTTTGCTGCCATTTCCCAAAGATCATCAACTGTTGACCTGTTGTTTATAGTACATGATTATATCAATGTGTTTCAAAAACAATTTGAAAACCTTCCACTGCTTGGGCATGCAGCTTCCATTATATCCTATTCAGTTTATGCTTCATCCAATATCCCATTATAATAACGTACTTTATATTACAGTACCGCTCAAAAGTAAGTTGATAAGTTGACAGTCTGTTGAACCTTGATCCTCAATCCTCTGTACTTGATAACTTTGAGGATCAGGGCTCGAGTTGAGTTTCGAGACATTCAAGAGACAAGACCGTTAAAACTCAGTTCAAGACAATCAAAGTTGGGAAACAAAAAAGTTTTTGCACCATTTTGTACTTTTAACAAATCACATACCAACCTTTTTTAGTAAGCCATTCTTGAAGCTTCATATTACTATCAGCTTGGGTTAATTATCAAACCACCCCCTCTCTAACCAAGCACACTGAAGTTGTACATGCCACACAGTGCTCATTATTTGGCCAAATTTGTAAAACAAAAATTGTTGTAAGTCAAAATAATGACTTACAAGTAAAGTCACACAGACAGTGTACTTCCAAGAAATTACAATCAACCAATTCTTCATTTTCATGAAATCGAAATTATATCATGTCATGGTAGTCATAATTGTCACCTTTTTATCCTTGAAATGAGCAGCCCCCAAAAGCAATTCACAAGCGCAAACATATCAAGAATAAAGTGTCCCTTCACATGATATTATCCAAGTGTACTAGTAACATATTGCACAGTGTAAAATACCTTGTTACAAGACCCTTGGTTGTGTGTAGAATTATATCCTCAACCACAAAGAACCTTGAGGTGGGGAAATAAAAAATTACTTCCATTTAGGGAGGTTTATAAGTGCAATAAAGAACCACAACTGCCACATCCATCATAACATTAGTATGACTTATTGAACATATGGAGAGTACCTAATGACGTTGAAAGGTAACATTTTCATAGAGAAGGGCTTTCTTTGCCTAACTTTTCTCTGAATCCAATTTGAAATACTATATTTCTTCACCTATAAGCCAATCTCGGCTGTAAGCCAAGACCCTGAAAGTCAGGGTCTTTCCACTACACTCAAGCTGCCCCTAAAAAAAGTAAATCCATCACCTATAAGCCGAGAGCAAAATTATTGATTGTAATTGGCCATTTGAGCAAGCGAACCTCATGGAAATCATAAGAATTTGACTCACTAAACACAAAACCTAATGAACTACAATAAACACAAAAGAAAAAGAGCGAACCAACAAAGAGCTATGAATATCAGTTGATCCAACAACGTGTATAAATACTACCATGCGACAACAGATCAACCACAACAACAATCTCAGTTAAACGTTTCAAAGTATCAATCGATTGAGTATCCCTTTCATCGCTGTTATGTTTTATCATCATGCCTAAAGTACACTGTTCCTCGTATAGTATGGCTTTCAAGATAAAAGTTATTGCGGAAGCTGAAGCAGCAGAAAACAACTTGGAAATTGCTTGAGAATATGGACTAAGTGAGTCAATGGTATGACACTGGAGATGAGACCAGGCAACTATTCTTTCTGGTGAGCTGAAGATGTCTGCAAAAGGTGCAACAATGGGCTGTTTCACTCCGAAAAATTCCAAACTAGACCAACAAGTGATGGAGTAGTTTTCACAGCAAAGAGAACAAGGTTGGTATTTACTTTTTTTATGTGAAATTTTAGAGTTTTTGAAGAGTTGAATGATATCATCTTTCAGTGCATGGGAAACAGACTTTGATTGGTCAGAAATATGTTGTTGTCATGATAATTTCATAACATGTCATGAAAAGAGTGTTGCAGTCACAAATCTACAGTTATCTCACATCAAAATAAGATTGTTATTTTATTTTTTTTTAGGTATTGCTGTGAGTGGATTGATGCTTCGCCTTAAAGCTAAAGAGCTCTCTGATGATCCTTCTTTCAAAGCTTCCTGTGGATGGTACGAGAAATGGAAACGATGTCACTCTGTAAGCCTTCAAACAAAGACAACTCTAGCCCAGTGATTTCCCGCCGACCTCAAAGAGAACATTGTGCGGTTTCATCACTTTGTCGTTGCAGCAAGAAAACATGCCAACTACCCTTTATCCTGCATCTACAACATGGATGAGACACCCATGCATTTTGAGCTGCCGTCGAACTGAACACTGGAATTCAGTGGGAGCCAAACAGTGCCAATAAAATCTTGTGGAGTGGAAAAGCGGAGCTTCACCGTCGTTCTTGCTGTTGCTGCCGATGGAGCAAAGGTGCCACCGAAAGTCATCTTCAAAGGCATCCATACACCGAGAGATCTTGTTGTGCCGCATCCTCTTCGTGTCTCCTTGGGGAAGGGTGTATGGATGAACAGGGCCATTTGAGTTTACCCCAGCTGGGAAGAATAAGGCACCAAGCAGAAATCTTGTCCTCAGGTGGATCAAGGAGGCATGGGCAGAGATACACCAAGAGATGGTCATTGAATCTTTCAAGACCTGCAGTATTTCTAATGACTTGGACGGAACAGAGGATGACGTGGTCTAATCTGAGGAAACCCCGGAAGTAGATGATGAAGACATAGAAGAGAACGAGTTCGAGACAGACAATGAAAACAAAATGAATGGATGGCAAGTAAACCATTGGGTTGAGAGCCCTTACACATTATCCATCAAACAGCTCCTTTAAATGCCACCAATTTCAAAAAAGTGAATAACCAATATTCAGAAGTTATTTTTGTTGTGTTTTATTACTTCTGCTTCATTGCTAACTTGACTACAAGCCAGGGGGTAAAGTTTTTCAGCAACTGTATATTTTTAAAATCTAAAACCCTCGGCTACAAGCCAAAGCCCGTTCTTCATGAAAAATTTCCCAAAATTTTGGGTCGAAAACTGAAAAAATCGCTCAGCTTATAGGTGAAGAAATACAGTACTTCGAAGAGCAGTGATAAGGTTATTATAGCAAGAGTTAAGTTGGATTTCTGTTTCAGCACTGATTGACTCACCCTACAATTTGATGAAAATAAGATCTATACACTTCCAGGTTTCCATCCTGTTAGAAAACAAAATTAAGATCGATGAAACTTATTGTGAACTTGCCACATGTTATGTAATTGTGTCAATTACATATTATATTTAGGTAATCATTAGTGTAAGATGACTCTTGTATAGTGATTACTAATTAATAAAGAGTGTGCACTTAACACCACAGATCCCACTGAGGATATTCAACATGCTTTGAAATAACAATCTGAATGAATTATATTGCTTTGTTTCTGCAAGGCATTAAATAACTCTTTAAAATAATTTAAAATTAAATTTTAAATTTTTGCAGCTTAAGTCTTGAATAAACATGATCCTTTTTGACACCAAACAAATGTAAGGCTCAACATATTTAATTAGTTTTTCTAATATATTATAAATCCCAAATTATCTCTAAAAGCTTACTCTACTTCCAGAGCTTAGTTCCAGAGCAAGACGAGCTTGTTTTCTTCTCTGCTTCCTGTAATAGTTATCAAATGTCTCTCTTTCTCCCTTTAAGACAAATACGAAGGCATTAAATTACTTTTCAATAATTTCTTTCAATTTACAAAGAACTGTTCAAACAGACAGAAGGATATCATGGACAAATCACTCACCACAACTGTAAAAATGTACAAGCACTTGTACACTGGGGAAAAGTCTACCAAATCTTGAGCAGATTTGTCTAATTCCTGCAAAGAGAAAAAAATCATTACTGTCTGCACCCACTCTGCACTGGAATCTGCTCATAATTCATAATATTCATTCAAACTTATAAATAACTAGAATACCACACATACTATAAAATCATAATTTCAAAGAAGGAAATTAACGCTTTGCTAAAAGCTTGAAAACCACCCATTTCCTGCTTTTAATTCACAAAGTTGACAACCTGCATGGGTTATCATGCCAGAATCCAGTGAACTTTGCTTTACAACAGAGTCCACTTAAGAAATAATCTTTTGAAATTACTATCTTTGTGGTTTTAAGTCTAATTTTACCAATTTTAAATTCTTCTTAAAATAGTTTCAATTCTGCTATTATATGTACACTGTGCAGACTCACTTCATCTTCTCCTTTCTTCTTCAAACCAACACCGGGCATAAGTGTCAAGCTGGTTTTTTGTATTGCCTAGACATAAAATAGATTGATCTCATCTAAGAGCATTACTGTGTAACTGTTGCTACAGCTTCACCAAAAACATGTTCCCAAATTCTAATAACTTTCCATGCCAGATAGAAACCCAAATTAATTTACACATATAAAAACAAGAAAACAGAGCTAGTTCACTTCTAGAAATTGATGTCTAGCAGTTTAAGTAATCAAGCCAACAGAGTTGGCAACTGGTAATCATCAGGCCCCAGTTGTTCAAAGATTTGATAACATCCATTGGATAAAACTCTATCCAGTGGACACCGCCAACGCTATACATTTTTTGTGTGATGCATGATCCTCGCAGTAGAGAGCGCTATTTATGCTATTTATTTATATCTAATAACGCAGTTCAAAATATATGAACTTCATATATACATTGTAGCTATACATTTCGTTATCACTTATCCACCACATAGCAATTTATCTGTTGGATGGCATTATCTGCCCTTTATACAACTGGCCCCAAGTAGATAATCTAGTAAGAACTGTAGTGCAAATTATATACTGGTTGCCTAAAATACACAGGCACTAACCTGTTTCATTGCTATTAAGCCTAACCGGACAGAAACCTTTCTAATTTTCTCCAGAAAATCCTACAAGACAAAAAAGAATTAAGGGTCAAAACAGCCCTTTGAAACTACTCTCAAAAGAACAAACAGATGGCATGACTAAATGGAAATCAATACCAAGTCTCGGTATTGACTGACAGCTCTTGAGTAAGACAAGTTTACAAGCAAGATTACTGCTTAACTCTGTGCCAGCTCTGAAAGTTTGAAGCTACAAAGTGCATTGCTCTTCTCCTGAATATGAAGCTGGTCTACCACAGGTTAACCAACAACATCTCATCAGGTTTCACTGACAGTCTTCTGACAATTACTGAAACTCCTGGGAGAATCATCGAGAATTATTAGGAGTGAAATAAGTTGGGCTTGAATCAAGACCTTGAGATCTAAAGTCCACTCTACTCAACCCTCAGCCACTGCTGAAGTACAGTTTTAAACTGTGTACCCATCTTGTCTTCACTCAGTCTGATTAATGAGAGTGCAGTCAATCACTGAGTTTTTCAGCTGCATATTTCTCACCCTTAGATCAGCCATTGATGCTTCTTTGATGTGTTTTCTAACAACTGGTATACTTTCTTGCATAATCTCTGCAAATCTAAATCTGCCAATCAATGGCAAAGTATTTCAAAATTAATAGTAAGATATAAACTTTGAAGGAGGAGAGTTCAACTTGTACCAGCCATTAAAATCAAGTTAAAATATGGCAAGTTAAATAAAATACAAGTACTGTATACTGCACATAACCAATCAGGGCTTTCAAGATTTTCCCTCTAAGAGTTTAAGATACCTTTTTATCTGTGGAAGATAGGTGTGTTCAAGCTGCTCCAATGTTTTTAATGCTGGGTAATACCTAGTAATAATTGATAATTATGTTAAAACACAGTTGTATAGTTATAAGATACAGATACTATAACTTTACCTGTATGTCATGTCATCAAATGCGCAGTATAGCATGTGCTAGTAAATTATTCCTGACCGGTAATTTTCTATTCATTAATCACAACTGCAACTCCAATTATAATCAAGAAGTGTGAAAGAAATAATATATATGAAAGAACCGACCTTCTGTTACACATCTGATCTTTAAGTTTGGCATACATGTCTAGTACTGTAAGAGAACATTTTTTTTAAAATCAATAGAGACAAAATAGTTCCTTCAGCCAATTTTCAGGTCAAAACTTGCAAGGAAAACCAGTATATGAAACAAACCAGAAACTAATCAATAATCTACCAAATTTTCTCTATTTCTTCATTAATAATATACATCAGAAAATTACATCTGATTGGCTGAAAAGGAGTGAAGTTTTCATGAAACATCAGTTCAAAGTTGTAACACAAGTGTAAAGTTGTAACAAAAGTGCAAATTACAAATAGCCCGAGTGCTCTCAAAATTTCATCTATCTCGACTTCCTGTAATGCTTTTTCCATGTAAAGTATAAAATTAATAAGTAATAACACAATTTCTTGTGCAATTAAAAGTAAAAAAGCAATTAAGAATTTTTCAAAGACTACAAATTGCACTTGAAATCATGTTATAATCTGCCCATGTATTAAACCCCTACATGTACAGAGTCAGTATCAATCAATATGAGAGGTACTATTTCACAGGTGTGTAAGTTATAACACCATTTCAAAACCAGTTACCAGACCATACAGCAACATACAACATATTTGTAATGATCAATTACCTGGTAAACAGAGGCTGAGAATCTCGATTGCTGACACAATATTTCTCTGGGTTGTACGGCAGTATATCAGGTTTTCACACTTGCTTAAGAGCTACATATATCAAATACAAGAAGCATTAAATATTTTTCAAACAGAATCAAAGACTCCTCTATCATTCAATAAAAATCATCATTTTTTTAACAAGAATTAAATAATAAACAGTATAACATTGTACATAATTTTTAACTAATAGTCAAAAATCATCATCTCTATAATTTAATATGGTGGTTAGACAAAATAACATTAAGGTGGAGGAAGTAATCTGCTTTAAACTGATTGCGCCTTGCTTGTCTAACAACAATCTTTATTGCATAACTCACAATGCCCGTGGGCAAGATGAAGCAAATCCTGTGTTCTGACTGGCTACCCAAGTGGGCAAGATGGGCCCATCTTGCCCGCTTGGGATTGCCCGCATCGATCCCACATATGAAAAAGATAGAATTATAACTACATTCATAATTCTTGGACAATTTCAGCAACAGAAATGAAAAAGTGGCAGAAGATAGTCAAAACAAAGAACACAGAAACAAATCTTGCAAGTTTGTCGTGCTACAAACACAGTCGGCTTTCTTTCCAGGCTCTCGAAGTAAACAACTCATCCCTAATTCTTATTGAAGCAAATGATTTGCGATATAATAAATCCTTTGTTAACCAAGCTTGTTCGGTCAAGATGACTGGATATTAGCCTCATTCTTTTTTCACATTTTTATAGACCAAGACTTTGTCTCGGTCTATAAAAATGCAAAAAAAGAACTCGGTCAATATCCAGCCATCTTGACCTCACACTTGGTTAATAACCCATATATCTGTTGAAATGAATGATTCAAAGGGCTATCATTAATTACTTTTTATATTGATAATTTTCAGAGATGATACAATGAGATGGTGAGAATATATTAAATTACACAAGCTGGGACAACAGATTCTAGTCAGCCCAATATTATTGTTTCCTGCCTTTGAGGGTCACCAGATGATTACAGTTCTCATAAACATTGGATAACAAGATGATGTGTCTAACCAAAAAAGACATTTTCAAGTATAGCATAATGTTTTAATCCTCTGGAGTAGACTTTCTGAGTCTAGTTCATTTAGTTTTTCCAGCCAAGAGAGAACTTTTTAGATCATACAAATTTTGTCAAAATGCTCAAGTGTTTCAGAAACAGCAAAACCTGAAATGACCATTTCTCTGGTCTTATTATGCTTTTAATTGTTTTAACAAAAATGAGGAAGAGTATTGAATTCTGAGCACATATTTAGAGACCTCACGTCCTGATTCTTGCATGGATTCATTCACTTCAATTATCTTGATCTAATAAAAAATAGAAAGACAGGTATAATGTTTAGTAATGACAGAGGGCTGATATACATAGTATGAAAATACCCCTTTAAAATCTTTATTTTGGAGAGCACTTACCTTTTTCAGACTGAACAAATCAAATGGGTAAGTCTACCGTGACTCACAACTGTCACCTCACCCATGTGAAGGAATGAACTGACATTCTTTAAGTGATTCCAAAAAATTCTCACATCTGTATTATTTACGATTCCCACCGCATTTTACGTCCGAGTACTTATATTCTTACTTTAAAAACCCACGAAAGCCTCTGCTAAGAAACGATTCAAGTCGTGCACAAGTGATGGCTAGATAAGGAAATTAACAATCGCATAAAATGTATAACTAACAAATCAACAAGAATCGAAAGTATAAACCATATCCAATATGAAGCCAGCCAAATAGCATCACAATATACTAAACACACCACTCCTTTTTCGTAAGTAAAATAAAATACCTTGAGTTTCCGTGCTTCACCACGAACTTTGAGCAGTTCATTGACAGACTCGATGAAACCTTGGTAGTGATAGTTGCACATCCGTTCGATGTCCTTATCGTGAACCCGTATGCGCTCCTCCAGTTTAGCCATAAAGTTAGTGTGTTCTTCTCCATCGTAGACGGCTCTAAATAAGTCACGATAACGAGAGACCAGTTGAAAAAATCATTGGAGACGGCACCTCCTCCGCCTCCTGTCAAAATGTGGCGAGGGAAGGAGGTATCAGTGATAGATAATTTTCGAATAATATCGATTCACCTTAACGTTGGTCCAAGAAGACCGTCACTTGATTCAATCTCCGCTAGGAGGTGTTCAACATGAGAGCTAGATCCCGTTGACTCCGTCGCCATCGCAATAAAATATACCTGCTCCTTTAAGGTCACGTTATATGTGGCTGCAGGAAAACACAGAGTAAGCTATCCGCCATCTTGAAGTAAAATCCGGGAATGTATGAGCATGCGTGACAGCTGTTTCCTGTTGGTAATGACTTCAAATATCTTACATAATCTATTTCCCTGTCGGACGAATCTTCGAGTAGAGTCAACTCGTCTCAAAATTGTATTTTGTGAACAAGCACGATGTCAGGAGAAGCACCCATTACTGCAGCTGCTACACAACTAGAAGAAAAGCCACAACAAGGTGAAAAGAAAAAGCTAAGGCCATGCTGTGCTTGTCCAGAAACGAAGAAAGCACGTGACGCTTGCATCATGGAAAACGGTGAGGAAAATTGTGGCGAACTTATCGAGGCACATAAAGAATGCATGAGAAAGATGGGATTCAACATATGATGTGGACAAAGTCAGTTGCTATCAGCCGAAATCAAGGATTCAATATTTGGATAAGAAAACAATTTTGTTGAAGGGTATATTATTTGTGAGCTGGATTATGTAACCATGGGCACCCATCGAGACAAATGTAATTTACAAATGGAAGTTTAAAACTTCCAGGTCCTATCAAGTGGTAAAATGGTGAAGATCATAATACAGGAACTAATTATGGCAGTTTTTCCCGTCTGCCTTGAATTTCCCAGAAGTTTTAGAGAAAGGAAATGATGACGATGGACTAGAATGTCGGTCAAGTTGAGAGGGGTTGTTTCACACAACATGTAACATCAGAGATACAAAAAAATGAAAAGAAGTGTTTGGATCTCTTTATCGCCCCTTAAAGCTAAGTAGCAAAGTTCACAAGGTGGAGGTTTTGTGAAATTTTTGTTGGTACTTTAAGTATTTACAATTGAACGGTGCCCTAATTTTTTTGTATGCTTGATGATAGTGTCATTGGTGAAAAGAATATCCCTACACTTCCCCATTACATTTTTGATTGGAGTGTCCCTAATTCTTTATTTCATAAGTAAATGTGTGAAATTAAATGATGTTGCTGATTAAAAATAATTCCCCTAATGTAATGCAGTTGATATTATAGAGCAGCCAGTCTACCATTTTTTCACAAAATCGGGCAAAAATAGATAACAGTTCACAGGTGAAGGATCTTTGTCAAGTAACTGCTATTGAAAAAATTTTCACTAAAAGGAGCTTGAGGAAATTCCAGGTTTGAAAAACATACCTCCAAGTTACTAGCATGGCACTACCAAAAAACTGAGCTATGAAACACCTTGATGGGTTGGTGGCAAATATGGAGTTCTAAGTACCTGTTAAAGAATCTTGTCACAAATATGTGCAATTGGTTGAAGTATTGATGCTAATTGACCATGCAATGGCCCTCACAGGTCAACTGCAGTTAAAGAAATTGCTGAAAAGGAGGCTGAAATTTTCAGTCCTTAACAGAATTCATATCCATGTCTCCTGGCTGTTTACAAATTAACATTGCATCCTGGAAATTTCCAGGCTACTCTTGGAGGGGTACATAAGGGGTTCTGAATACCACAATGCCAGAAACAAAATAGAACAAACACTGCATCACTGCAAACAATATATTTATCAACACACCAACACTGCAATATAAAGTCTCAGGATTTATCTCGTTTTACTCTTCTTTAGACTATGCATTGGTCTTTGACTGGCCAATAGTGGTTGAGGTCTAGAGGTAAAATATAAACAAACATGGCCTGAGGTCTATCAGCTAATATTTATTGAAGATTAACTTGGCTCTATTGCTTAGGTATAAACTGCAACATGGAAATGGTTTATTTCACTGAACACTGTCAGTTTGAAATTACAAATATCATACACTGTAAGGTGTGAGAACACTGCAACACCACAATGCAAGTTATTCTTCACTGCAATACTGCATTAAAAAAAAAAGGATCAACACCCCAACGCTGCAACTAATGTTCCTCTCCTCTTTGAGTGGCCTTCATAAATTAATATCTCCAAAAGTCTTATCTTAAAACAGCAGTCTGTCACATTGTATTAATTAGTTCACCAATACTAATGAGACCTACGTTGGAGACAATTTTGTACATTATTTCTGATCATTTGTATTAAAATTTGGTGTGATGATTTAGACAGGGTTTAAAGTACCCCTCCTGTGGGAAAGGATTTTTTGATTGCCTTTGAACTAAAACAGGGGTCATTGCTGGTTGAGTTAAGTGTGAGTGACAATATCATAGTATGTTCAGGTGTTGAACATGGCTAAAGAGTACAGCTTTCAGAATTTTGGAAATGCTCAAGAACATCATTCCACAGGCTTGCTAGATTATCCAATTTAGTTATCATTTGAAAAATCTTTGAAAAAAAGCAGTTATCTCACTTCTTGTGCAATCCATCTGAGTTAAGAGAAAATTACATGTCATACACATTGTCGTTTATAACTTATCTTATCGTTCTTCCTTGTGAATTTTTATTTTAGTGTGGCAAAAATTGAAATGTAAGTGAATACGCGATACTGCAATTCTTTGGAGTCGGTGAAAATTTCCCATCGATTCAAAAGATGACAAAAAGAAAGTGATGAACCCTTTAAGAGGGTGATAATTTTTTTTCAAATGTGTGTTGATCTTAACACCTCCAGTCACGTAGTTATTATTCACACTTGCGCCTTGAAGAGTGTCGAAAATATTTCTGGTCGTAACCATGAGCACCGAGGGCCACAAAGTATAGAAATCTGAATTTATCGTCTCATTTTGAAAGTATATTTTTGATAATCTATAAGAAATCATATTGCACCGGTGAAAGGTCGTGAGCAATTAGCAATCTCCAAAATCGCTTTCCCGTGGCGATATTCTCTGATGATTTTTACACATCGATAATGGTTCAAGAATTACGTAATCAAGACTTTCCGCAACCAATGAAAGAACTGAAATTATCGTGATGTGTACAAACTGTTCTCAAAGGTGCTCAGTCTGTTTTTAGCAAATCGGCAATACTGTGTGCGTTTTTTAAAAGTTATCTGCGACTCTAGGAAACATTGATCGTAATAACTGTCGATATTGTTCAAATTAAAAAGATAAAATGACTTCCTTGACTACGATCAAAGGGAGTGATGTCAAACTATTACTGTTGTTGTGAAGGAAAAAGTACAAAGGGAATGCTTTTAAGATAGCTAAATAGAAGCTTTTTGTTACGAGGATACGACCATGCTTTTTTTGTTAAATCACATACATCAATTTGAATGCTTTTCACTTTCAACTGGAATTCTTGATAGCAGGACCAAAAAAAAAGAGGTCTAAAGGTCTGTAACAACTGCTTTCTATTTTTTCGTTTATTGTGTTTTTTAAAACGATTTGTGAGTTTGGTTTAAGATGTTCTCACTGAAAAATCGCCTTTGGCCAAAATATGCCATTTTTGAAGCGCGCTGAGGGAATTTCAAGTTTTCGCATATTCAGACCACTTGTCGCCGATGGACCTATGATCAAGATCAATTCAAGAGCGCTTGAAACCAGCAATTTTGACCACAAAAAGAACTATGTGAATTTCCGATCTCGAAATACTTAATAAAAACTAAATTTAACCAGCCCTTGTTGGTAAAAAACATTTTTAATACGTTTACCTTGCGGGTTGCAATTTGAGGAAACGTTACTCCTCTTCATACTCTGTTAGATTCAGACCGCATTTGTTGTAAAAAAAACCGAGGGCTGCGATGCAACTTTTCGCTCAACTGCTTACTGGGCTTTGAGAATTCAAGCAATAAATCATTACAAGAACATCTAACTATGCACACCTCTGAAAAAAAAAAAAAAACTTGGAACTAAGTCATTTTAGTGTTGAGTTTCGCCAGGTCCGATAATTGCTTTCATATAAAAAGTGAAAATTGTGCGATAAGTCTTTCACGCACGCCTAACGTCGTCATTTTAGTAATTTGTTTTTCTAAGTTTACCTAACTATTTTGAAATGTTTCTGAAGTTTATGAGATTGACATGGTTTCTTTTAGGCGGAAGGCACTATGCGGCTCCTTCTGTTAACAGCGCTGTTATTCTCACTGACCCTATTCAAGTTTGGTGATGGAGAGGAAAGCAAAGAGGAAAACGTTTCTGATATAAGCTTGACTAGAGAGGATCATGAAATCGACGATTTAAAAAGTTTTGAAGATGACGACCAACCAGACGATAGCGCTAAAGATAGGTGGCTGGCTCCAGAGCTGTACGACGAAATAGAAAAGCGCAGTAAACGCAAGAACAAGTCCACGCCCGCGCCAACAGGCAGCCCAAAGGGAGAGGGTCAGGAGGAGCTCCCCAAAAAGAAGAATGAAGGAGGAGGAAACAAAAGTAACAAGAATAAGACTAATAAGAAAAACAGGCCTGCCAAGAATAAGTTTACAGAGAAAGGTAAGATTGCCTGCCATGCCAGATGACTTCATCCGGTTTTTCGTATTTTTTTTCTTATTTGTCGCTCCCAGCGCGTTCACCCATTGCACTTCATAACTACTTCGTGCACCTATTACGTCCATATTGTAAGTTCAAGTTGCAGTCACATAACCATTTTTAACGAAAGCGTATTTACATGATTTTGCTCATCTTTCTTTCCTCTCAGTGTCTCCCTATTTCTTTCCTTCTTCAGTTCTTTTTCCCCTTCACTTTCATTTCATCTCTCTCTTTTTAATTCTGATTTTTATGTTTCCCCCTCTGTCTTTCCACCTTATCTCTAATTTTTGTTCTAGATTAATTTCCTTTTCCTTTCCCAATTTCTTATACCTTCTCAATCTTCTCTTTATTTCTTCCTGTTTCTGACCCCCAGAAACGCCTTTGTGGTTTGAGCCGTTGGGATGCTACAAAGACTATGGTCCTTTAGCCTGGAAAAGACCCTGGCTTCGCGATATAGCAACACTGTACAAAAACGGTCGTCGAATTATCGACTGGAGATTAGACAACTTCAGGGACCCGATAATAAGATGCGCGCAGGCTGCACAAGCCAGAGGATATCCTTGCTTTGGTGTTCAGTTCTATGGAGAATGCTGGGGATCCATTAATGCCTGTGAGACTTACAACAGTTATGGAAAATCATCAAACTGTATCAAAGGCGTCGGTATCTATTGGGCTAACTTTGTTTACAAGGGTAGATGTGGATCAGGTAAATACATCGATGATTTAAGTGCTGCTCTGTCTTGTGTCACTAGTTTGTAGATGATGTCAGTTAAACTTCATTCGCTTGTGTTAAGTCATGTCAGAATTTTACCGATTTCCTTTCAACAGATTAATCAAACAGAAGAAGGCTGAGGAAAACTTAAGGCATTAATTAAATCAATTATCAAAATTCAAGACTTAATCTTCTAATTAATGAGTTCTAAGGGCAGTATTGGGGTATTTTCCCAATTAGTCTACTCTTTATGCAACAATACATCTTTTTTCACTACAAATGATTTTTACATGGAACATGGAAAGCCTTTCCTGAGGCCATTTCGTAGGAGAAAACCAGATGCATATATAAAGAAGGCGAGGTCTTCGGCCTGAAAAGATTTGCTAGAGACGGAGAAATACAGCAACATTCACTTGTCCTCGCTCAGTGACCAACAGATAATGTATGACATAACAAAATGTCCTGTTTACTTTCCCGCAGCGTTTGGGTGTTGTCCTGACAATGCTATGCCAGCTCTAGGCCTAAAATATAAAGGCTGCCCAGGTCAGTGTGAATCATGATCAGTTATAATTGGCCGTGACTCTAACCACGGCTTGGTGTGTAAGACAACTAACTTTCTCATCCAGCGCGTCGGTTGATCTTTACAGTAGTGGTTTTGTTCACCTAAAAAAGAGAAATATCATGATAACTACTTTCAATAAGAATTATTTTCAAAAAGGCCCTTGGGCTTAGGCCTACAATTTTTTTCCCACCCGCTTGACTTCTATAAAATGACTTTTGCAAATGTTGAAACAAAAATTAAACTTTCTTTACGACATACTTTCTAGTTCTTAAATAACAAAGAAGCAAAGAATAAGTCTCGTAACGTTAAAGCATCAGGTTAGCACACTTTCGGGTCCGTAAAGATGCTGCTAAACCATACAGCGTTTGCCACGTACAAGACAAATACCAAACTGGCAGTTTTAGTGTCATGGGGTTTTCCATTTTCGAGGTTCAGACTGTATGAAAATGAATGAAGCCTGCTAGTACAGGGTCCACTAAGGGGAAAGGCCAACAACAAGTCGAAAAGCTGGCTCCGCTTCTTAATTATGTTCTATTTCTTCCATAATATTAGATTGTACCACTGCTGTGAACATAGTTCTTATTATCGACTCGTCTGGAAGTATTGGAAAGAAAAACTTTAACATAATGAGACAAATTTTACTCAAGCTCGTCAGACATTTCTCCATCAGTGACTCTTACGCTCGAGTTGCTCTCGTTCAATACGCCACTACTGCAAGAACGATTTTTTCGTTTAAGAAATCACAGCGACGGGGAATTCTGGAACTTCAAAGGAGGATTTGGAAAATGCGTTACACTAGAGGGCGGACGAAAACTGGAAAAGCCTTAGCGTTGGCGGCCAAAATGCTGCGCACTGCTAAGAGGTTTAATCGCAAGATCGTAAAACACTATCAGGTATTGTTCATTTTTATTTGCATGACGAATAGCATGAGAAAGTGAGAGGTGGGGAGGTGGGAGGAAGGTTTCGAGTCATTATGACAGATAAGTAAAGACTTCGTTCTTAGTAGATTTTCTGTATCAAAATGGAAGCACATTATGTAACCAAATCTCCCTTTATTTTGAGGCTTTTCCCTTTTAGTTCCCGAGTTTTCTGCTTCACTAATGAGGATTGTCGCTTAGAATGGTCATCTATATAACACGAAAGATACTAGTCATGTATTTGCCAAAGGATAGAATGGTACAATCAATCAGGGATGGGGAATGTATTCTGAATTTTATTTTGTAAAGTAATTGGGAAATTTAAAGGGTAGAATAGCTAACTTCTTCCTTATTGCGGCGGTAAATTTCTTCTTTTCCCCATTAGGAAGCTATTGTCTTCACTGACGGCGTTACAGACTTAAGTGACGCTAAAAGATTCAAAGCGGCAGCTCCTGCTCTAAAAGCAATCTCTCACGTAATAGCTTGTGGCGTGCAAGGAAAGGGTTACAACGCTAAGGAACGAAAGCAGCAACGAGAGGAGTTAGGCAAGATCGCCAGTAGCGAGAAGGACGTAATCTACAAGGCTTCCTTCCAAAAACTCCTAAAACGCGTCGATCCAATTGCCCGTCTCGCATGCCCACTGAACAAGAATCGCAAATTGGTGTAAGTTGTGACATTATACTATGTTTTTTACGTACTCTAGGCGGGTCCAAGATTTGTTCAGACATCAAATTGAAAGCTAAGTACACTTCCCTGAATGAACCGTTCCCTCAATCGCCTTATTATTAGCCACTTTTGCATAGGTAAGTTCTTGCAATATTTACTGATAACAAACCTTCCAAAGTTAATTTTGGCCAACCCCGAGAAGAGAGCTCCAATTTGAAAGGGAACCCCCAGCCGAACACATTTCATGCCTGTTATACCAGATAAGACAGAAAAAAGTACGGTGCTCTTTTATTCCTAATTCCTCTTAATATTTTACCATCCTTCTTCTTTCGCAGCTGAAGAGATTCGAACGGGGCGTGATCACAAGCTAAAGTGCACAGCAGTGAAAAGGGTGCTAAGGGCCTGGAAAAGTTTATTTTCCAATCAGAATTGTAAACTATATGGGAATAAAAAAATGGGGAAAAAAGAGAAAATGAAATGATTGCGATTTTCCCCCTACTCAGATAAGGCAACCATAATTATTCTCCTTTTTAACATTTATTACCAAGTAACTTTGCGCAATCATAACAACGACAACACAGCAAAGACATTACAACGCTTGTGTAAAAATCTCATATGAGGTCCCTGAAGCATTTTTTAGTGAACCTCAATCATGACGTCCGCATATCACAACAGGATGCCACATTTACAAAGATAACTTGTTTTTTAAGTGCTAAGCAACGGTGTTATACTCATTTTGAAGATGCGGTTTTACCAACCAAACTTTGTCTTGGACAATCTTGTCTTTATTTCGGACCCACTCAAAATACAACGCTGACCTATTAGCCACAAGGACTTTTCCATATCCGAAGTTATTCTCTCTAAAACGAGACCATGAAAAATCCCAGTAACCTTCTGTATTCAATGCAAACCCAGCCGAGCCCACAACCACGTGTGTAGTCCCCACTCCATCTTCTTGACAGATCTGCTTGTAAACTGCGCATGTCCTCTCGTAGCTGTGATAGTGTCCCCAGAAGGCAAGGTCTACTTGGTATTTGTGAAGAAGGTTTTCCAAATAATACTGCATGCTAAGTGACACTATAAAGTCGCCTGAGAAGGAAAAGGACAGAATTGAAATGGAATATAGAAAATAAATTTATTCCAAATCCATCGGTCAAACTTTTTCGAAAATCATGAGACAAAATCTTTGTGGATATGTACCAGTGCTATTATATCTATTTTAATTTGTCACCTGTTCGGAAGCGGAAACGAAAATCAGTTCTTTAAAAAGAAGGCACGTTTATTTGAGTGAAAAATGGTGAAACAATAACACGGTAGACTTGGAAAAACACCAACAAAAGACTCAAAACCAAAACTCGCACACGCAAAAATCGTACGCGATACTCGTATTCGAAGTTTCACAACTAACGGGGTTTCAAAGCGCGCGCGCGCTAATCGCGCTAATCGCACATCACGTAGGTTCGGTAACTGTCCTCTTAACACTTACTCAATACTTTTTGGCTTGTATACATTGGTCGATGACCTCCCAAGACAATCCAAGGTGTTTTATTCCGATCAACTTTCTTCAAGTCATTTTCTAGCCAAATGTACTGCTTTGATCCGGGCCTGTAATCATGTTCTGAGCTCACCATAATGAAGTGAACGCTTCCATAATCATAACTGTACCTGTAAAATCAGAACAGTGGTGGTGATCAGGACTTTACTTCTCTTTAAAATTCCGAAAAAAGATTGAACACAGAAGCACCGAACAAGAATTGATCTAAACTTCAGTGTGGAGGAGAAACTCGTCTTGGCTTTCGCATGAACGCTTCGTTTTTTATTGTTTATGATTTTCACTTCATTAAAAAAAGGGAAGCAAAAGTTCTGAATGGAGAAATGATTGGCTTTCGTTGACCCTTTTGATTTGTGTTTTGGAAAACTGATTTGTGTTTTGGTAAATAGTTATGTGCTTGAACATTTTGAACTACCGTGCTTTCGCGTTAAGCTTTCACGGATCATGCACAACTAGAGCCTCAAGCTGCCAGGAGCAATGGCTCCATAAGAAAATGTCTGACAGGAGAGAACAATCGAACAGAAAGGAAACTTAAATAAACGTACCACCATACTGCATTTCCATTGTCAGGCATGTGAAATCTGTAGTACATAGGTACTCCACACTCTCCCCCTGAGTCATCGCCAAAGTTCCCCCACCAAGGGTGCCAGCCTTCTCCAGGGGCACCACTTGGGTCTTTTGAACCTCCTGAAAGGTGGTCTTGTTCGTGATTCCCTATGCCCACCATATATGGCATTATAGTTGCATAAGGCTCGATGAGTTCGTGCCACTGATCCCAGATGTAGGCCTGTATACAACATTTACAGCGAATCGACTTAGTAAGGTCGTTGTTCTTGACCCCTACCCATTCACTTTCAGAGGTGATAAACATGTGGGTTTTCTCCACCGTGTCAGTTCGGTATCCTATAGTAATCCTAAACCATTCATGTTTTTTAATCAGTTCCTTTAACTTTGTAAAATACTCTCTAATCCTGTCGAGGAACGAAGAACTAAATGGATGTACGACACCTTTATTAGTAGTGCCGTGATGTTCTGAAATGTGTGACCTGACTCGGCCTTTAGCTAGATACCTCCACGAGAGCCTTCATGCCGCTAACATCACTAAGCTACAAAAAGACCAGAAAGGGATACCCTCGTTTTCTCTCGGCAAAAACTGAGAGTTCCACTTGAGGCTTAAGAAAGTATTCAAGAAAAATCTGAACGAAAAGATTTTAGGAAAATTCTGAACGGAATTTTGAAAGGCACTTACGTATCCTCTGGCATATGAGATATCACCAACGTGGAATACAAGTGAACTGCCATCCTTGGCCTCCTCTACCAAGTACTTTGCTGTATCGTGCGACCCAGGGATGGGGGTGTTCCCCATGTCGCCATAAACAATAAACGTAAAGGAAGTGTCAGGGTCTGTGACAGGAGCAGAGCGAAACTGGCGCGCATCGCTCATCATCTAACCGGGAAAAGGAAACTTGAATTTAGGAACCAGACAAGAAACTGACCATTCTTTTTTGCGAATAACCTTTCCGAGCTCCAAAATACTGACAAAATCAGGGTGACATCGTGACATCAGTATCCCGCCGGGGTCCGGGCGGGACCTCAGGCGGGATTCTTACGCGGGTATCCCGCCAGGATCTGTCAGAAGTTTTTCAGTATCCCGTCAGGTTCTCGTTAAAATCACGATGGGAGATCTTTTGGAAGGAGAAAGTGCCGCAGCTTTCGAAGAAACTTATTATTCGCGTACCGAGTTCTTGTTCTTATGGGGTCACTAGGAGGGAACGACTAGGAGCGTCGGTTCCTCGATGCGAAATTCAGTTTGATGGGAACTGAGATCGCGGCACGTTTTCCATAAGATATTGCATTTCACTAACCTGATGAGAACAATCTTCCCTTAAGACCCATGCGGCAATGAATTTGTACCTTAATTGCGTTTCGATCGCAATAGGATTCCCTCTATCAGATGTGCAAGTGTAAGTTGTAAACTCAAGCAAGCTTCTATAATCAGAAACAGACCTTAGATGATCCGTATGAATAAAAGTACTGCGTGGATGGAGTGAGTTCTGTTAAGATAACATCGTGGATGTAACCAGGATTGGAAAAACCACTTAAAGAAGCTGGTGGTCCACACATGTCGGTTTTTTTGTATGTCTTGGAGGTGCCTGTAACAACTGAACTCAGAGAAGTGGGGTGTGTTCCATAGCGCACAACTGGTGAGTCATCTGAAGCAAATGTAGAGTTACGAAAACGGTAATTAGATGAATCACATATATACTGAAAATATAGTTATCAGTTCCGTCCTCCCCATTTCTTTCATTGGTTCATTATTTGTTCCTCTTTAAATTATTTGATTTTTACCCTTCTTCATTTTTTGGTTCTTTTTATCTATTTGTTCTTTCACCCCTCAACCAAAACCATTTTCACAATAACATTATTATTTATATTCCTCGCGCTGTTCTCTTTACATTGGCAAGGAGAATTTGATAAAAAATCAGGAGTTTTTGAAATTGGTGATCATTTTCTTCATTCTCCTGACTTTTAAATTTAATTCAAGTGTGATAATGTAAGGAGAAATTAGAAGCCAGTCACTCTTAGGAGTTAAAGGGTTAACATCTTGTCTGGGTAAATGGCGAAGACATTTGTAAGTAAGATTGTTTAAGTCTGGATTTCTCATCGCAGTAACATCAAGAGATCAATAGATGTGCAGATCAGGGCCTGGTTGTTCAAAGCTGGGTTAAGATAACCCAGGATTAGCGTGAAATTTGATTTCAGATCTGAAAGCTTTAAGAGAAAGTTCAGTTTAATTATTTTGTGTCTACAATTTGATGATTGGATGCTCTAAAAAGAACAGGGAAAATTATCTCAGAATGGTTCTTGAATAGAGAAATAAGGAATCCTGAGTCAAAATTTAACCCTAGGTCAGTGCCAATCGGCCTTCGAACAACTGGACCCTGATTTACTCTAACATGATGAATATTCTTTAAGTTCCGGGTGATACTTTTAGATAAACTGATGTCTTTTTGCGGATGTAAGGAGGCACCTGACTGCGTTTCACATCATACACAGCGGAAGGCACCGGGGTATATTAAAAACCGTCAAAACCTGGCGCCCTCGTATCAAAGGAGGCACATGATTGTCGCTCAGATCGAACAGAAACCGGAACCCAAATGGGAAAAGCCGAAAACTACATCGGAAACCAAATCTGAAAACCCGTTAGCAAACCACTATGAGCACCAAAATCGAAAAACCGATAATTCCAATGCCCCCCTCAACACCCATGCATTGAAGGATGATTTCTCTGAGTCCAGATGTGCGGCAAAAATGAAATAAAAATAGAAAATGATAGGATGCTTTTTGCTTTTTTCTTATTCGATTATGCAGGTAAATCGAGGCAGAAGTAGGGTAATTCGCTCTGGAGTTTAGAGACTTAAGGTCACGCTGCCGGAAATAGTTAAGCTCACCTGATAGTCACGAGACACTGACTATCAGGTGTTCATCGCGTGTTCTGACTCTAAATGACTGGTAATATAGTTATATCCTGCGTGGAATTGTCCTACTCGCAATGATATGACCTATCTTTCTCTGCATTACGTACACATCGACTGTTTGAAGTGAGAACGCTAAATGTTTTCATTATTCGAAAAGAAAAAGAGAAAAAATATACGTATAAAGAAAAACAAAAAAACTAGTTACCTGTTCCTGATACCCACATAACTCTCATTTGTGTTGGATCGCCTGTAAGAGCCAGGTGACCTTGCAAAGGAGCATACACCCCTCCCTTAAACTTCAGCACATTACTGGTGGCCACGTGAATATAACTCTTCTGATAATAACGAAACTCGCAGTTGGTTCTCATGTTGTATA